GGACAAGTGTGATAACATCTGACAAGCCCTAAGGTGTTCAAATTGTATCTTATCTACCACAAAGTGTGTATACATTCATAATATACATGTGTGTGTTCCAGTGTACTTCAATGTACACTTGTTTTGTCTACCACATACTCTTGTTTTTGATAATCATTAGGTAAATGGCTAAACTGGTAGGATATGTAAAGTTAGCAAATATAACATAGAAAATGTATCTTCTCGTTATGTTTATTTGTTTATTTATTTATTTAATCAAAAGAAGAGAATAAAGTGGTACTTGGTTAACTTAACTTCAAAATTCTTTCATTTCAGATCTTCTTTTAGTTTTACTTCATTTACCGAAGTTTGTTATATTTTTCCTTCTTCCTCTTGGTCCTCAACCACTACTACTATGGTCATATGTTAAGGGAACGTTATCAAAATAAACTTATTTGACAATAAATAAATTTTCTAAGAGGGAATTCATTATTTGAAGTTTACTTCAAAAAAAAAATTTTCATTTGAAAAATTCAATTAAATTTTTTTTAATCAGTAAATAAAATATGGAACAAGAAAGAAAAAACACTCTCAATTAAATTAGCAGGATGTGTTACTTAGTTTGTTTTTTATCTTATAACAAATATACTACTCATTTTCAAAAGTTTGTGTAGAAAAATTTTTTAATAATGAATATGAATATACATTGTAAACAGATTGATAGTCAAAACACAACATTATCCCCGTCAGTAATATTAAAGTACATTCTTTTAATTTTAATATCCGCTTACATTATATTTCACGATATAATGATAAGCTCAATATATTTTCTGTTTTGGGCTGTGAAGATTGTTAAATTTCATTTAAATCATGAATAGATCAATGTCCGATCATCATTGAAAACCTCCAAGCACTAAAACGGTTATTTCGTTCTAGTATGACATTCATCCACAGTACACACGCATGACTCACACATGATATTCAAACTTAACACCCTCAGTCACGTGCACGAATGCACAATCTCTAGACTATTGTACCGGAAGCCAACGGTGTTAATTTCTAATTTCAACCAATTCACGATCTTGTACAACCATCTTCAATTGTTTTTGGTAAGAAACTGTCTCACATTTTTGAACAGTAACTTACTGAAATGAAACGGTGGCTCAATGCTCCGAGGACTCCAATATTAGTTTAACATTGGTTGGTTCATGATTTCAATGAAGCTCAATATTTCTTACATTTAAAAAAAAATTCTGCTAGTGAATTTGGCTCATATAAAGTACAACAAAACTATCCATAGTCAAGAGTGTAGAATCAATTTTTAAAAGATCCTTTGTCATTATTCAGCTAAACAATATAGTAATCGATCAGGAGAGAGAGATGATTCCAACTTACGATTATTACTATTACCATTATTGAATAAATTACAACTTAAACATAAATTAACTTAGCCAAAAGAATATACCATGTCGAAATCTTCTCATTAAACTTATTAGAAACTATTAACACTAATATATATATATATATATATATATATCGACAACTACTTTGATATTACGTCAGTAATAATATATTCAGTGATAAAACAGAAAATCATCTCAAGGGAACAAGAATACAGATACTATAACATCTTATTATGGTACTTTATATAATGAAAACGGAATAAAATACAACAATGGAAATACATTTACTATAAATCATATATATATATATATATATATATATATATATAGACATCGATTATCTAGTGAAGTATAAAATCATTATAAACCATGTCTTTTTAAACAGTTTTTTTCTTTCACTTAGTATTGTTTGTTTGAATCTTCAAGTTCCAGAGTGAACATCAACTCTGAGATTCAGGTACATCCAGCTGACGAGTCCCAAATAGGACGAAACGCGCGTCCTGGATTCCACTGCTAGCCACTATCCATCTTTGCTTATAGTTTTTTTTCTTTATCATTAATCGAAAGTTTAAATCATTATATTAAAATGTTACATACTATTGATGTTATTAGTGTGAATTCTTGAATTAAGAATGAATTTTTCTTTTTTCAATTTTTCACCTTGTCATATTTATATTATTCTAACAGTTGGGATCATCAGTCAATTGAAGCTAGACCAACATGGAAAACCTGGAAGAATTGGATGGCCGTTTCGTCCTATTGTGGGACTCATTAGCAATGCGCATCCAAGATCCCGCCTTCCACAATAGGATGAGACGGCCATCCAGGTTTTCTATGGTTGTCTAGCTTCAATTGACTCATGATCTCAACTATTAAAATTACTATAATATCCATCAAAACCGATCCCTATATTTTTCTGTTTACTTTTTATGTATGTTCTTACATCCAAAGTTTTCTTTTTTTCCCTTTTTCATATGAATCCTTTTACGTTATGATATTGAAATATTGGTTGATAAACGAATGCGCTGTTAACTTGAAATAATTACGATTATAGTGAAAAACTAAATGGATAAAAGATATTTCCTTTTTTGAAGTCTGTATTTAATTCATTTTATCGACTGAATAATTTAAATTTACTTCGCTATAATGAAATCATTTTGGAAGTCATTCTTTAGTTGGAAATTGAATGAATTCAACTGACGTCTTTAGTGTTTTTATCTGATAGGGTTTACTACCTGACTTATGTTTTTATTCCTAAATATGATGAAAATTGATCTACACAATCTTTATCTATTATTTCATTGTTACAAAACTGTTAAATTAAGAGCAATATTTCGGAATTATTTAAAATTGAGTTTCGTCGTCTATAGACAGTATCAAGTTTTAAAACTTCAATGTAAAAATAATTTAGATAAAGCAAAACTGTCTGACGTATCGAAACAGGAACCATAAATTGTGGTGAAGTTTTGTCCTTTGAAGTAGATGGTTTGGTGGTGGAGCTTCCATCGTTATTGTGAACAACATCATCAGCACAAACTTCAGGTAGAAGAGAAGCATTCGAATTTCTCCACGTATGATTCACAGCTTGTCCTGTGGACATCGGTTTTGGTTGGTTATTGTTGACCTTTGCCCTATTATTGTTTACTTCTTCATTTTGACTGTTTCTTCCATCAGTTTGATTTTTGGTCCTATATTTGTCTATGGTTTTTATGATTGATTGATAAATTGGATCTATTTCAATGTGGTTGCTGATTGCTCATCGACCTGAGTGCCAAGCTTTTAAAAATTCTCTGGTGTTTTTAGAAATGCCTCCATCTAAGATCGCAACATTTTTCCAGTCGAATGTGTGTCTACAGTTGTCCACATGTATTGATATAAGTGAGGATATGTCATGGCGTTTGGCCACTAATTGATCTTCGTGCAGGCAAAGATGGAGAGGGTGTAAGCTTGATCTGATGTAGTGTTTTTTGCAGTTGGAACAATTTACTTTGTAGATGACGTTAGGTGTTTTTTTGTCACTTCGTCCTTCTTCTTGCATTAGATTGATTGAAGTGATTTTGTTGGTTTGCGTGCTACACCTATCCCAAAAGCCTTCAGCAATCTCGTAGTAATTTCTCATATGCCCTTTACAAATGGTAGGATAATTTGTTTGTTGATTTCTGTACTTAATTTCGTCTCTGCTGATGAGTTCGGTTGGTATTTTTTGATGAAGTTGATTGGACAGTCGTCGTTTTGAAAGATAGTTTTTAAATATAGGAGCAAGTATCAAATCAATGGAAGATACCATCAAAATAAAGAAGTAAACAATGACAGAATAATGGTTAACAATAACCAATCAAGATTGAGGTATACAGGACAAGCAATGATACATTTATGGAGAAATTCGAATACTTCACTTCTACCTGAAGTTTGTACTGAAGATGTCGTTCAGAAGGACGATGAAAGCTCCACAACCAAACCATCCAGCTTAGAGAACAAAAAAAACCATCTGATCTACAAATCTTCTCTACCATATCACAATCTAGAAATGTTCAATTGTCTTGGGTTTCGCCAAGATTTACGACTTGGAAAAGTGCAAGTTGTTACCCCAAGAATTCTACCTAAGTAACAAAGCTATGTATTTGTAAAGTCGATCATATTATGCTTGTCAGATAGTTGAAGGGAATCGAAAGAAAATCTTAGTTATCACTTACCGTCTTCGATTTTACTGGAACTGATCCTTCTTATAGAATCAAGACACTTCAACCTGTATCGCATTCAAAGTTCTGCTCTTGAAATACTCAGAAAATAGCTAACTTTGTGAGGGATTAGGAAGTTTAAAATATTATTATTCAACTTCATTGTTATTAGGTCTTTGGTCCTCTTAGAATTCCGTATGTCATGCTAAAATGTTACAAGTTCTCTAACTAACACATTATATTTTCCCTGAAATAACTAGAAGCCACCTAACACTGGATTTAGTTCATCACTATATGGACTTATCAAGACTAGAAACTGCATTTGGTGTTCATAGATTTAAAATGATCAATACCAGTGTAAATGCAATTATGAACAAAAAGTTTACGAGTAACTGGTATCTAAACAACCATTTCAGAATGTCTGTTGAACTTCCATGATCAATATATTAGATCTATCGGATATATACTACAAATGTATGCTTAAACGTTGCTTAATTAGTTTTTGACTTTATAACCCTTAGATAAGTCTAGTTTCTTTAAATGTAACTTAAGAATGTTAAAATTGATAAAAAGACATAATTATTTTTACTCCCTTGTAGAGTATAAATAAGATAAGAATGTTTCAGAACAATCAGAAGAAATCAAGCACGATTGTTTTTGTATTATTCTACCAATAGTTAGATGAAACACTGAGCTATCGAATTGAGATGAAGTTGAAGTTTCTACCTAAAACTCATAGACATACTAACGGTAAACGATAAAAATGTCTTGGATTTGATTTAATCTTCGATCACGTTTTTTAATATACTATTCTGATATTATGATTATATAAGTTGAATTGATCAATGAAAAATTAGTTAATCTCTCGAAAAAATTAATAAACTATATTAACTTTCAATTCATGTCAATACTTTTCTAATAAAATACATAATTATTTTAGGCCAAATGTATGCTTCGAAACCAATCCTAAACCGAGACAATATCGTCAACGTATACAAATCCCTTATACAAAACTAACACGTGTTTGGGAACCAAATTGTGAAACTGAAGGTAATTGGTGTATCAAATATAAAGAACAGTAAGTTTCTATTGGATATTTATGATTGTAAAATATTAAATCTATTGTGTATAAATAGATTATCTGTTTGTTTTCATTGACATGATAATTGTTGGATTATTGAGTTACAATTACAAAATCATTTATTCATGTCAAAATCAAAGTACCTTTTGATTTTAGACATTGAAGATAAAATCAATTCAACTTAGTATTGTTTGTTTGAATCTTCCCATTGATACGCAATACGCACAGTATGCACATATGCCAATAACAGACTGACCAGTTGTAGTCCTAAAACATCAATGGGAAGATTCAAACAAACAATACTAAGTTGAATTGAAACTTCACCCAATTGCACAAGCAAGTGGTTATCAGAACTCAGTGACCGAGTGGATAACGCGATGGCATTTGAAGCGACAGGTACTAGGTTCGAGTCCCAGAGTGAACATCAACTCTGAGATTCAGGTACATCCAGCTGACGAGTCCGGAATAGGACGAAACGCGCGTCCTGGATTCCACTGCTAGCCACTATCCATCTTTGCTTATCATGATTGAAGATAAAGTTATAACAGTTTGAAGATCCCCATAGAATATTTAAAAATGAACAATATTTGAGCGAACAATTGTTTTCAATAACTTCATCATCCGGCTTTACAGTTATAAGTCCATAACTATTGTGATATTTTACAAGGGCTAAAATGAGGCATGTATTAATTAATTTGACAATTTCGATAGTGTAATAAGAAGACGAAGATTATCAGAACTATGTGATATATTAGCGCAATACATTTCGAACAATCTGAACAAACTGATGCATAAATGTTCTTAACAAGTATATTTGTGATCAGATTGTTCGAAATGTATTTCGTTGATATATCACATAGTTCTGATAATCTTCGTCTACTTATTACACTATCGAAATTTATCAAAGGGACTAATTGCTTTAATTTGACAATGTTATATGTTAAAAATAATAAACGTTTGTATCTGTTACGACATATATATTTCAAAATTGTGTTATTTGTAATTTAGAAAAGTCAAAATGATTTGCAGCAAAGTGCCCGGTCAGAATCAGTATAATAGTAATATAGTAAAAATGAAAATGTGAAAAATCGTGTGAATAAAATTCATAACAGGAGAATTTAATCTTCTCAATTGAGATACTAATGATAAATAGTAATATTAATAAGCTTATTCTGTGAATATAATATGCAATAAAAGGAGTGTTATCATGGTAATTACGATAAACGAATTGGCAATGATGGATGTGAAGATTAAGGTAGGGGTGATCAAAAAAAGAGCAGGGGAGAGGTTTATAATATTGAGTTTAGATATCCGGTGATCCAGTCATAGGCCAAGGTAAACATAGAGGCTGGATATTACCTTTTCTGGATGCATAAGTTTGGTTTTCTGGAGTTGATTCAGATGGCTTCGGCTATGTAAGGTAATCGTCATCGAGCTCTTTGAGGTAGATTTTTCGGAACTTGATATAAGACAGAGAAAGCTTCTTCTATTTGATATGATGTTCACTATCTACCAAGTGAGAAAAGATAGTGTTGTTAATGGATTTTGTGACTCCTTTTCCCAACCATGCTGGTACATGTTCACGAATACGCAAGGATAAAGCCCTCTGAGTACGGCCTATGTAACTAGCTCCACAGGAGCAGTTGAATTGGTATACCCACATGGAAGAGCCCATCTTCGGTAACTTATCCTTGATTAGTTGTGTAAGTACTGGTTTAGTTGAGAAAGTGATGTGTAGCTTGGGGGCGTAAAATGTTCTTTCAACCGATCTTTTCAGTCGGCGTGTTAGGATATCCCCCGCTATGTCACCTTTAAAGTCCAGTTTCAGATACAAGGTTTTTTTTGCTGATTGTGTCACAATTTCTTCTCTTTTTACTGATATTTTCAACTAGGTATATTTTAAAGAACTTATCTGGGTAGCCATTATTTCGCAAGTTATAAGTCTACGAAGTGTGATATTTCACTAAGATAACTTGACTGGGTGTTATGATCATTCTGTAAAATCTTGATATCTGTCATCCATTTTTACACAAAATTTGTTTTGATAACGTTTAAACTACCATGTTTGTTAAGTGGCTTTACTAAATACCCTAACCAACTGAACCGCTTAAAACAGATGCAAAAGAGAAGTACTGTTTATCTGCACAAAACACAAACATCATAGTTTAAAAAGTAATGTCAATAATCCTATTAAGGTAGTTGCAAGGTGATTTTTCACATTTTGTAAATTAGTATTATCATAAACTATTATCAGCCGGATAATTAATGAGTAGCAGAAAGTACTAAACAGCTGATTTATTCTAATCTGAGACTGCTGATCAATACTTGCACGCAACTCCACACACATGTCGAATTCAGTTTATATAAGCTTGTAATGAAAGTACTTTGAAATATCAATGACCTTTTCACGCTAAAAATTACTGATCTATTCCATCTTTAATGAACATAATATTTGGACATTCCTAATTCACAGTTATTTAATCACAGAATTATTTGACTGGACTTTTAATTTATTTAAATATTTTAGAACCCATTATGCTGTTCATTATAAAACAGTTTTTAAAACGGCACCGACAAAACAATTTCGTTGCTGTCCTGGTTTCACTCGTCAACCTGGATATGAAGGTTGTGTTCCGGGTAAGCATTTTCGAAAAAAACATTCTTAATTATTTTGTCATAAACATCATTGACTAACTCGAGTTACATCACAATATATTTTTTGAGTGTGGTGAATTCAGATTAAAGTTTATATATGTATATAAACAAAAATAACCATGGTGTACTTTGGTGAATCCAATCATCACATTTGTCTAACTTAACTACTATTTATTGATCATACATTCAGTAATATTACATACTAACGTAATTTAATTATGTCCTAAATGGGTCGGAGTACAGATAATCCTTATGGCTAAACTTACACATCACTAACGATTAATTCTTCACCTTCATTACTATATTTTTACTTATCTATTGTGCCAAAGAATTTCTATTTTGTACATTTTAAATCAGAACAGAATTAGACACATCAAATGACAACCGGTTGTTTTTGACTTTAATTTTAAAACTCATTCAATGATTATATCAGTGAAATAAACGAGTACAAGATGCAGTTGAAACATTTTATAAACAAAATATTGAATAAAATGTTTATAGATTGTTCAGATTCATTAAAATCATGAATCGATCAGTGTCAGATCACCATTGGAAACCTGGAGTTGATTACGTGACTTTTGATCTCAAATTATTCTAATCAACACTGAATTTTACATGCAACGAAATTTGACAAACATATCATTAATAGTACAGGGTTGTGGAAATTATTGAGTTTTAATTAATATCATGAAATCATCAATGTTATACCACTATTAAAAATTTGGAAGCACTGGGCGCCATTTCGTCTTAGCATGAGACTTCTCAGCAGTGCACATGGACGACCCACAAGTGAAAATCGAACCCTGCACCTTTGGCATAAACGTTTAATCTCTAGCCATTGATATCAATTCAATGACACTTAACAGTCTCTACAACCCTATACTTATAATCATCATTTGCTCACTGGTAACTACCTTCAAGAGGGAATTCTTGGAGTTCCATTAAGAACCCGTAACCAGTGGAATTCAACAATATCAAGTCTGTGGCAGTTACCCACCGAAAACAATTGTACTAGATCGTGGATTGGTTGAAAACAGAAATTAACACCGTTGGATTCCGGCTCAATGGCCTAGCAGTTTGGCATTCGTGCACGAGACTGAGAGTGTTGAATACGAATCTCATGTGTCGGTCATGGATGTCCACTGTAGATGAGTGTCATACTAGAACGAAACGACTGTTCTAGTGCTTCGAGGTTTTCAGTGGTGATCGAACATTGATTCATTAATGATTTCAATGAAAGTGTTTATGGTTAATTTCCTGTTTAACTTTTTAATTGTGATGAGCGCGATCGTAATCACGAAGTCAAAATACAGTTCATATCATAAATATAAATGTATACACATAGTTGCCGGAGAATAACCGCTTAATAAACATCTGTTCAATAGCAGTATAGAACTGTTGGTTAGATTATTTGTCAAGATTCATATATATATATATATATATATATATATATATATTGGATGGACCTCTATTAGGACTCAGAGACTTAGAAGCCAATGATTAAACAATTGTTTAAGATGAAATCAAAATTACAGTAAACACAACGAAACAAATTTGGGTTACTATTCTTTATATTAATGTAAACCCCTAATGGATTTCCAAATATTGACAGAACGTCGAAAAGAATAAGGGATTCTTCAATGAAGAAAAGCTAATTAATCAGTTCTGCTTCCATCGACAGTTGCTTATTTAGATCAGTTCAGATTGTATCAACTGTTTCCCAACCGTCCAACAATGAAAAACCAATTCACCTGAAAAATATTATATATCTGAGATATGCTTTTTGAGCAATCTGATCACATGTTTATTTGTCGAGACATGGGATATGGGTTCAGTAAATACAAAATGATAATTGGTAATAAATGGGATAAAAAATTATGCGATTTGAAAATGATGACAATTTGCTACGGCACTGAAGGGTTTAAGGTGAATCAAAGATTATTAGAGTAGATTCAAGATGGAATAAACTGTTTTTGTACATATACTGTCCAAATACATCACAATTTTCTGATCCACTCTGTCTTACTACCAAATTATCAAACAACAATAAATTAAATGTACTGTTAAACTATTAACTGAACCCCTAATCAATATTTCTTGGTACTGAATGCATTGAAAGTAAGAAAATAGTTTAATGACGTAGTAGATAGCTAAAATAAATTTTCAAATTCTTTTTGTTTTCAATAATTTATATGTGGTGTTTACATATCAGTCTATATAAATTGGTAACTTGCATTGTCCAGGATCTAATGTACAATTGCATCAATTTACTTTGACAGTCTAGATCGTCCGAACACACTTTTACCTATATTACATATTGAATCATATATATATATATATATATATATATATATATAAATGTTAAACTTGACAAAATAAACTAAAACGTCAGAAAAGCTTATAACAAATTAAATTACATTCATTTTAAACTTAGATTAATTAACTCCACCCTAACCACTCCCTATCTCTTTTTTTCTCGCTCACCGATCCTTCTTATCCTAAACTTCATTATCTCGATAGATTGACTGAATAATATGTACTACTCTACCTCTATTTCTTTGTGTACAGATAAAACAGAGGAAAATATCATCAGCAACATACATTGAATAAAAAGTGACCGTAACACTATTTATTCACTTATTCTATGCTTTATTCATGTATATTCAATTTATATCGCCTGTAAAAAAAAGATTTCCATCTTCGACTTTCATCCTTACTTTTGTTTTCTGCTTCTACCACTGTTACTTCGTCTCCTTCATTTTCCACCACCCTGAATCAACAAGATCATGGTCTGAAGTTAAGAGTTGAAAAACTTATCATTTTCCTGCTTCCAATGCTTAATTTTCATTGAAAACTCTTCAATTTATTTAGGATCTACTTGTTTGTTTGTGTAGAAGTTACATGAAAAAAAGCAAAAGATCTATTCAAGTGTTCAGTCGTCCATCTTACTGTTCACGTTTTTGTATGTGTAAGCACACGAGTGTTTGCTATGTGTATGAGTATATTTAAGTGTAAATACTGAACATACTAATCATATGTATTATATATATTGGATGATTTAATTTCAATAATTTCTTCAGTTTTGGATAAGATTTCTATACTGATAAATAAATTATCTTATTTACAAGAACAAAAAAATAAATGTCTATGTAGTCAACCGTTTTTATCCATACTGTTCTGTTAGTGCTTTCGTTAAGAAGTAACCGACAACAACAACAACAGCAACAAAATACGGGATCTGTTAATTTTAATGGTTGTATGTTATATATTTTTTTATCTTTATGAAAATGGGATAATACTTGAAACTAGTAAAAACTAAATAGGGAAGATTTTCTTTTTTTCGAATAATTGTGTAATTAGTGTTAAGAATAGGTATCTAAAAGATAAACATTGTAAGTAGTAATAAATTCTATATTGATATAGACATCAATGAAGTAGAATGTTAAATAGACATTGATTTTTAATAAATTTCAAGACATACTTATAAAAGTTATAAACTAATTCAGTTATTATGGACTATATTCATTAATAAAATCATCATTTACATTATGATTACAGATATCAAATAAGTAGGTTTTGATCATATGCTCATTAATGACTCGCTTCAAGATGTATTTCCTGGAGTTCTAGTGAGAAGCAGTGACCAGTCGAGTTCAACCAGGTCTGTTGAGAGATACCAACTCACTGAAGACATTGATGAATGGTTGTTCAACTTTGTGGATTGGATGAAGTTAGACGTTAGCACCGTTAGACGCCAGCTCGGTGGTCCAGTGGTTAAGCGCTCGCGAGACTGATAGGTCCTGGGTTCGAACTTCACGAGGCGGCATCGTGGATGCGCACTGCTAGGGCGTTTCAAAATAGGACGAAACGGCCGTCCGGTGCTTCCAGATTTTCTATGATGGTCTAACTTTAATTGACTCATGATTCCAACTATATAAAGGCACTAAAATCCCCACAAAACCCCTTTTGTGATAGATTTTGATTTAAGTATTAAAAATTTTAAGCAACATGAACTTGAAATCTTTATTAAATGGATACTTTCTAATAAATTTATAATCTCATTAAAATGTGGTTTCTCATTAAGTAATCGTTCTGCAGATTGGGAGAGCGACTTAACAATGTAGATGATCAAGCCGGAGAAATTATGGAAATATTTGTTGTAGTAAAAAGCTGTTTTAAATTTAAACCAATGATAATTAGGGAACTACTGAAAACCTAAGGACATTGAGATTTCCGCCTCAGTTTAGTCACGTTCCACATTCATAAAAAGGATAGAATATAGAATGCATAGGTTTGTTAGTAAACATTGTATCCGAAAATTTGAGTCTATAGTGAATGATACAGATTTTTAATCAAAGCCGATTTAAGATATACAGCAGCGATATATCAGTGATCTGTTTTACTCCAAATATGGTTAACTGCAGATAAAACGCAGACATTTTGATTTTAACTAAGCTATCTAAGAATGAAACTACTCACTGTGATACATGAAGGTATAAATATATTATGTTATTTTTTGTTATTTTGTGCCTTGCCAAAATATTCTGAACTAATATAAAACTTCCATTCATTGTTTCTTTTTTTCAATAACTAACCAGCTTACTTCAATCTGTTACATATGCAGTTTGATTAAGATCAATACTATCTCAATAAGTATTACTTTATATGCTTTAAGATAAGTAGCTTATTGTTTTTTTTATATTAAAGAAGGGCTACATATCCAAATATATCCCAAACCGTTTAAAATTTGTAAGGTTCATTACCAACATTTGACAATATAATTCCGAATAAATGAAACATTTAGTAGAAAGTTGATAATAAACATAAGTTTATGATATCGTAATAAGTAAAAACTTAAAACTTTCTAACGTTTCGTCACTTAATGTAAGCCGCTTCTTCAGAGAATTTGTAATAAATGACAAATTAAATTTACATGAGTTCAAACAGCATTAAAGTAAAAGCAGAATATTTTTAACATAATCGAAATATTTTTTCGAATTGTTTTAATAATGTCAATATTGATTTAGGGATTTTTAAATATAGAATCTACTGTTGATGCTGATTTGACTTGTTTGTTTTCTAGTTCTATAGGATTAATTGGAAGATCTTTTAGTGTAACTATTTTAATTTCCATTGTAATAATAATGATGTACTTTGTGTCTTTTATACCACTTAAATTTATGTTAATTTAAGTAAAAATTTATTTTTTATCCTCTAAAAATTTGACTCATTCCAAGTCACGAGCTAAAAACTCCATTATGTCTAACAAGGTTAATTACTTAACACGACAGTTTATAGCACTTAATGTCAAGGTGTTCTAAGACAGTTACATGATCTATTGATTGTCTTTCATCGGAACTTAACAAACTTTAATAAAACGATCAAACACTGGAGCACATTACAAATTAACTATGTTATGTGTCAATTAAGTATACTGTTAGAAATTTGAATATCTAAAAAGAAAATTGGTTTCTTAAAGTTACAGGAATATTTTACTAATAAATCTGGTTTGAATGAAGAAAGTTAGCTTTCTGCAAACATGAGACTGTAAACTAAAAGTACCCAACTTATCATGGAAACACAAATAGATTACAAAATGAATTAGTTTATATTTCCTACTCCGATTCATGACTCACATTTTGTTATAATACAATCAGCTTATTATTCTATTTTCCAAAATATTGCTAACTTGGTTCTTTTAGTAAATAAAGATTAAATACTAGAAAAAAAACTCTATCAGGGACGAAAAATTCATTGTCTAAAAAACTAATAATGCTATCTTAAACAGGAATATCTATTTACATTTACTATTTAGTATCCAATTGTAGCAGGTTTTTGAAGGAATCAGGCACATGTCAAAATGGTGGATTATGTTATGAAAATGCCAGTACAATATATTGCAATTGTCCAAAAGGTTTTACTGGTTCACGTTGTCAAATAAGTAAGCTTGATATAATAAAGTCGATTTTTATTTTGAAGTGATATGTTACAGTAAGTTTTTGTTTTATTTTTTAGTTTCAGAAGGAATCACTTTTTGTATAATATTTTTACATTGATGATATATTCGCTAAAATTAGATTCATTTTAAGCAACTCAACTGTATGAGGTTACCTACTGAAATAAACTTTTTAATTATTTTACTTAACATACGAAAATTTAGAAGGATATATGAACTATTTACCCCCCCCCCTCATCCCGAATGGTAAATTTAATCAGGTTCACTAAATCCTCATATAAATAAGCGAGGATGTTTGACTTCGGAGATTGTGAAATAAACTGAATTTAGTTACAGAATGTAACTAGTGTTTCATTGTACAAATTTGAAGGAACAATGAATGAAGTAGAATAACTACTAGATATAACAAGTTTATTATTATTATTATTCAAATAACAGTTTAGTAGCAAAGTATATTTAAATACGATAAATTTTACGACAAGTAATCATTTTGAAGTTACATATAATATAGTACATCACTAGTCAACAAACTTCTTAATTAATTGTAATTTTATTAAGCTCAAAATATGACCGTGGATGAGCATTGCTGGGGAGTCCCACAATGGGACAAAAAGGCCATCCAGTGTTTCCACGTTTTCCATAGTGGTCTGGCTTTAATTGACTAACGAATTCAGCTATAGAAAAAACAGATAAATCGGATGAATATATTTTTTTTTGACTGATCAATTTGAAGTGTGGGGCTTATCCATGACGCCTTATATTCCACAATGATACTCATGTTTATAGAGCAAAAACAATAAAGCTCAGAAGAAGTTTTGTGGAGGTTTACCATTTGCATAGTTGAAAGCATGAGTCACTTGAAGCTAGACCACTATGGAAAACCTGGAAGCACTGAATGGACGTTTCGTCCTATTGTGGGACTCCTCAACAGCGCGCATCCACGATCCGGTACTCAGCAAAATTTATGTCATTTTATTTTATTTTTCATGGATTCTTCAACGAGCATATCATTTGTAATTTATAACATACTTATTAAACTACTTAAATACACTTTCTTGCTAATTCTATTTTGTCACATTTTTGTTTGCTAGTCCTGAGCTAACCATGTTTAATATTAATGTATATTTAACTCCGTTTTTGTTTGAATATATAATTCTAATTATTTACTTACTTTGGAAAGTAATCTGATGTATCAAAGTGATTATTAATGCTTTTTTAATAACTATATACTTGATCAACTTGGTTAGAGATATCAATAATTTTCGAGATGGATTTTACTGATGAATGAAATAAACTGTTTATGGATTTGGATTAATTATTATATGAACGGCATTGAAAAGTAACATAATGTCGTTTAGTCAAAAATAGTGACTCTAGGTAACCAAAACGAAAACGAATATATATATATATATATATTAATAAGATTCGAAAACATATATACTTGAGAAGGAGAATGATTCGTCGAGCGATATTTAAGCAGTTAGCATTTAAGGTAGAGTGAGAAATATGTGCGAAGTCTGTCACATGTGATCCAGCGTACACGTTTATGAAGACATAATAGTACAAAGAAATATGAGAATTACTCCTATTCGAATAACATTGTCTGTTAAATAAGTTAATAAAAGGGCTTCACTAAATTAACCGCAGGACTGTTGCTATAACCACTTCAACAACATCTAAACCATTTGTAATCCTTGTTTTAAAAAATAAGTATTATTTAATAAGCGAAAAACATGTCAAAAGTTATCTTGATAGTTAACTAATGTGTACAAATGGATAACTGTTTAAGAATATTTCAAGTTTCTTACTAGAAAAATACTTAGCGTCTGTCAACTAATTCAGAAAAAACCCAATAACCATGTTCATCGTCCGAACCAAAGCTGTTAAATCATCAATGAATTCTAGTGCCAAACTTTTAATTCTGTTATAATCGTTACTGTCACTATCATCATTATTTAACATGATTGAATGCCTGTAAGAGCAGTCAGTAAAAAAGACGAAAATCAATGTAGGGTAGATCGTAAATTCAAATGAAACATCATTTTATAAAGGTTCGGAGTTATAATTTAAATATTATGAATATCTTATATACAGTATTTTGTTATTATTTTCTTTTAATGTAATATATTCATTTATCAAGAGATTTCCAAGTATTCATTCATTGATGTTTTATTAATTGTAGTAGCTAGTGACTGTAATGAATTAAATAATTATTGTCAAAATGATTGTGGTCAAGTTCCTGGCTCGAGAAATTGTAGATGCCCACCAGGTTATTTTCTTGCTCCAGACAAACGAAGATGCCTTGGTAAGCTATATGTATTATGTATCTATTTATGATTAATTTATTCACAACTGAATCAGTTGTTGTACATAAATGTATAAACAATAATATTTTTGACATCTTACATAATCATGGAATCTAGTTTCATAATGTATGAGAAGAGAACTGGTTAGTGACAAATAGAAAATCAGGGTTTCAAAATTTGAAAAAATAATAAAAACTTAAAAGAATGTTGAATATACTCCTACAATTTACAGGAAGTATTGAAGATAATTCGTTACCTAATAAATATATAGATAAATATAGAATTTTCATAATTCATTTGAACTTTAGTTAAATAAAAATTTTGATTTATTAATCATCGTGGATTGGTCGAAGTTAGACATTAACACCACTGGATGACGGCGGTCTAAATGGTCTAGAGATTAAACGCGCCCGAGACTGAAGGCCCTAGGTTTAAATTCCGCAAGCAAGATCGTGGATGTGCACTAGTGAGGAGTCCCATACTAGGATGAAACAGCCATTTAGTGATCCCAGGTTTTCTATTATGGTCTAGATTCAACTGACTCATGAATTAAACTATTAAATTACATTAGTAAAAGTGTCCAATATTATTTCTTTCTTGAGAATTTGGATTGATTATAGACATCGGTTACTATTCATTTTAACGTTACCCAATGTGATGGATTTTTTTTATTGTAAAATACTTGATTTATTACCACAAGTCCTACTCACTGCCTTCTCGTGACATCACTGTTGTCTACGAACTTGAGAGGACGAAAAGCGAATGTCCGGCGCTCTAAACGGGTCGATGGACACGAAAAGTCAACCTAGAGGAGTTAGAAAACCCTGATTCCAATCCAATGGAGTACATGCGCTCTAGTATCCTGAGGGAAAAAATGGCATATGAATCAGTCGTCGGTCACCGGCTACCATGGGACTGTATCTCCTCACTATACTCCATTGCCTTGTGGATCAGACCTTTAGGTCAAAGGTTCGGAGTGTGGCCTCCTAAGTAAACTACCTGCTTCAGTTTGGGCACCTGGGCAGTATCACAGCCGTCACACAAATCAAATGAGATTTGTGCTTCCTTGTACCAATATTTATGTGTTTAAATAATAATTATAAATAATAATTTCATGTATTTTCTACCTGATATCTCAATACTAAAAATATGTACTTTGATCTCAATGTTGTGAATAGATATCTAGATTAATTTTTAATGTTGAAATTAATTTAAATTTATCTTATAGATATAGATGAATGTACATATGATCGAGGAGGTTGTATGTACTTTTGTGAAAATCTTCCTGGAGGTTATCGATGTGCTTGCCCTTCGGATATGGTCTTAGCACCTGATAAGATTTCTTGCATACCATGTAAGTTGTCATTATTATTTGTGTATAAATTATGTATTAGTTTAATGCTATTTTGTGATAAACATTGTTTCATAAGAGATGCAACTAATTGAAATAGATTTCAGTAATACTGAAATCTTAACATTTTCATTTTAAAATTGGTTAATGAACCCATTAGTTAACTTTGTTCACTTGTTTATTTCCAGTTTTACTATTCCACTGCTACCATCATCAATATCTGTGACTGAGAAATAAAACGTTTTTTCTACGAATGAACTAGAATTACTGAATTATAGTTTGTTCAAATTCTATTTAGATTTTTGCTTTGATACTTTTGTAATGTTGTTTATTCATTAGATTTTAACCAACTTCATGTTAACTTAGTCCTTAGAGCTGATCGAATTTGATTGATCAATTTACAACATGCCCACTAGTCTACATGACTTAACAGGGTGTGAAGTGTGTTTTGATATTTCGTTGTCAGTAGTTATGAATAGTCAGTTGTAACCAAATAGTTGTGTTAACATTTTGAACCATAAAGCTGGTTGGCTTATATTCGAATATCACAGGCACCATTAATCCACTGGAGATTTCAGGTTACCATAACAACAAGTGCCAGTTAGCATGAAAACGTTAGTATATATGTCCCAGTTGATTAACTAAAACCATCTGAAATACTTTTCTAAACGAGTAATCTGTTACTTACTTAAAATTTAATCACTGAGATTTTACAAATATATTTTTCCTCCTTAAAATTATATAGAATTTCATACTAGTCAGTCTGAAAATATACACATAATCTTCTAATATTGTATGTGATTATTAAATACCCTTAAGCAGTGAAACCATCATCTACTATTATTACATATAGTATTTAATGAAAATATGATAAAACATTGTGATAATGTCATCTTATATAACAAGATATTCGATTTAAGTTTGGAATACCTATAAAACGCACTGTATTTTACCACCATTCACCCTCAAGCTGTAATCTAATTCGTATAAACGCCTGTTCGACCTTAAAAATTCATATGTACAGGTGGAAGAGACATCAGAGTAGAAGAATTAAATTGAATGTAATTCCCAAATCAATTACTGTTCTCCCCAAAGGAATAACAAAATATTATTGTTAGAAGTTAGACTGAAGATATCTTTTGATTAAACATTTAATGAATAATAACACTCACTCTAACAAATCATTACCAAAGTAGATGAAAAAAGATACTTTTTATATTGCAAGGTAAATAGTGGAGCTAAAAATGAGCCTGAGTTATAACAGAATCCAAATCCCAAACTTTACTTATCAGACTAGTGTTCTATAAATTGAGTTTTTAAAATCTAAGTATCCAAAACTCGTCAAGCTTATTTCAATTTCAATGGAAACATGACTTCACACTAGATCTAACCTAGGATATCCATGTACTGATAACATATGACCCCGTGAATTTGAATCCTATAGTTTATAAAATTGACCTCGATCCCTTAGTACTGAAATGATATCCTTATTCTGTATTATTGGTAAGAGACTGTATCACTCTGGAGTAGATGAATCAGTATCATGACTAGTATATCGTGAAAAGAATTATGTATGGAGTGGACGATTAACATATGATTACTAAGTATCCAGATGTATCTGATGAGATTCGATAGATAGATAGATAGATAGATACCCAAAACTTCAGATCAATGACTAGAATAACATAGATACTCGTATAATAATTAATACTTATTATTCAGTCACAAAAAGTAAACACTGGTTATTATTGGTCATTTATTTGAACTATAATTTAAATCAAGTTTTACTAGAGATTTCAGAAGTTATCCCTATAAACCATGATCAGTTTAATTTAGACAGACTAATTAGGCACATTCATTTATTTCTGTCCAACTTGTCTGTTTTCATTAGTCCTGATTTTAAAAAAAAAATATTTTTTGGGGGAATTGAAAATTGAAACTTTTTTTCGTTAATTTTCATCTCTAATATAGACCAACAGATTTATTGATAATTACTGAGATACAAGTTATACTTCTTACACATTCAATATTGGTATATTAAACGATATTAATTTATAATTTCTTGTTATGAAGTTTCTCCACTCATATTATTGATTATTTCATGATTGTAATTTTCCAAGCAATAGCAATTAAATCTTTAAATGCCGTAACATCAAGTTTGAGTGCAATCTATCTACAATCCAACCACAGTCACTAGGTGTCTCTTTAACATTCAAAATAGTTGTTTTCTTAGTATGTTTCACTGATCGTTTAAACATACCTTATTTCATAATTGAAAGCGTGAGTCAATTGAGGCTAGACCACCAGGGAAAACCTGGAAGCACCTGATGGCCGTTTCGTCCTATTGTGGGACTCCTCAGCAGTGCACATTGATGACCTTGCCTCGCGAGATTCGAACTCATCACCTAACAGTCTCGCGCCAGAGCACTTAACCGATAGACCATGACCGTCCAGTGCTTCCAAGGTTTTCCCTGGTAGTCTATCTACAATTGGCTAACGCTTTCAACTATGAAAATACTAGATTTTCACAAAACACCCCTTCTGATAATACCTTATTTCAACAAATGTTTATTATTGCTAAAACTTTTTATTTGTGATCTCAGTTTCAAATTCTGATGGTAATCGATTAATAAACTTTGAAGTTTGCGCTAACCGTGATTTAATTCACTGTCATACAGGTAGGATGATCAAGTTGAATAAAAAGAGAAAACGAATTATTCTGAGGGGTTTTCGGGTGTCTATGATACAAAGAAAGATAATTCTAATGAGTAAACGAAACATTTAACCTCAATAGTATTGAGTGACATTTTCGAAATCGATCAACTTCTACTATTTCATTTATTTACCCGGATCAATATTACTGTCAAATTTAAAATTTGCTAGTAAATAAATAACTTTTATTTAGAACCAAACGTAGATCTTGTTTTCGAATCTCGCGAGGCGGCATCGTGAATGCGCACTGCTGAAGAGTCCCACAACTGGAAGAAACGGCCGTCCAGTGCTTCCAGGTTTTCCACGGTGGTCTAGCTTCAATTGATTCATGATTTCAACTATTAAAATTATTAAAATATCCACAAAACCCCTTTTGATAAAATATTTCACTTGACATATATAAACGATGGAAATCAGTTAATTAACAGTTGAGAAGTAATCAATCTAAAAAACATCATACACCTACTCCTTAGTAAATCTTTCTTAATAATTATCAATTTTTTTAAAGCAATTAAAGAATGTCCTTATTTTGAATAGGTGAATTTTTTTGGAAATTGACAATTATATTTAATTTTTATCATAAATATTTTAATTTCAGTTTTTAATCCATGTGAACATCCGCCTAATGGTGATTGTGAACATATTTGTACAAGTTTACCAGGTTACAGATATATGTGTTCATGTAAACCTGGTTATCATTTAGCTGAAAATAAGAAAAGATGTTTACGTAAGTATTATATAAGATTTTTATTTGATATACTTTTGAAATAATGTATAAAATGTATACATGTTAAAATTTTCCAAACATTCATTTATGTCAATTATTTTTTTTATCAGAATGGGGGTCTCGTACTAGTGTAGTGAACGAGAACACAAGTGAGCACAATCCTCACAATTAACCTAACCTATTCAAGCTGAGGTTCTATTGATACGCTATCCTCTAGCTCTATTCTATCTTCTGCCTTCAGTCCACAAGATTAGTTAACAGCAACCTTATATTATTATTATTATTCTATTTCAAGCATACAAACATACTGGACTAAATCACATCATAAAATGAAAAACTACAATTATACATTAATCAATTGTAGCTGTGAACAGAGAAAGCTATAAGTAATAAACTATATAGAAATCAGGTATAGTAAGTCATAAAATAGTAGTTAATGCGTCAAATGAAAGCTTATTATATACGGATTATACAGGCATAGTGTTATGTAGTAGCGAAGACATAAGTACGGGTAACTTGCAGGAAGTACTATTGGACTATCATTGTTATTGTATAACTATTCGGTAACTAGATTATATATATATATATATATATATATATATATTCATCTTATTGTAAGCTTCATTTTGACCTATTTATTATTACTATATGATTTACTGTCCCTATGTTATGCTCAGTTTTATTGATTATTGTCTCCCACGCTTACAGCCTCATTTGGCCTGGTTTTGTACAAATATTAATTTCTATTTTATGATGTGGTGTGGTCTGCCTGTCTGATATATAAACAAAGTATGCTTGAAATAAATGATTCGTATTACCGAGGCTGCTATTGGTGTTTTGGACTCAAGTGGACGGGTTAGGCGGATAAGGACCAATAAGGACGCTAGATTACTCATACTAATCGAACGTCATTGTCACAGTGTAAAGGTCGTAGAAGGCGTATTATATTGGTGGATAATTTACGCGAATTACGTCCTTGTTAAATTCGTAAGGTCATAACGAATCAGCGACGACCTTGATCAAGTCATAACAATTGGCTACCGCCTAGGTCAAAAACATAACAAATTGGCGACAGCTAGGTCAAGTCGTAACACATAGTAATCCATTTAACTTAGTAATTATACTACACAAATATAAGTAACTCGAAAAATAGTTTCTAAAGTTCCAGCTTTTAAAATAGTCGTCTCGTTACAACAGTATTCCATCAAAAAACTACGATCAATAATGATAATTTTAAAAGTTAGTCTAACATTTTTACACACTGTTATTTTTTGATCCTATAACACAAGTGCATATTAACAATGTAGTTAAGCTTAAGAGACTACTTATATATTTATGAAAGCTAAAATGTTATTATCATATGATTCTGGTCTAGTTGACTAATTTCTAATAGTAATCCAAACTAATGTTCAAATCTATTTATTAATCTTTTTTAAATGTTTAAAAAATTCACCTTAACCAAGATCGTACTTCTAAGGATCAGTCCATCAGTACTTATCACCAGGACGTCAAACGAACCAAGTTTATATTTCATCTATAATGAACACCTTGAATAATATTAAGATTAACTAATATGTATTTAAACTATAAGCTTTTCTAAGGTAACAGATATACCAAAAAAGCATCGACGACAACAACAACAAAGAAAAGAAAATTTAAATAATTTGACTAATCCGATTGTTTATATTTTATAAACAAATTTATTTTCAATTAGATACAATAGTTAATAATTTGATTTTAAAAAGTAACATGTTGCTTTTTTTCTAAAAAAAATGTTTATTTAAATGATCAAAAATAGTTTTAAGCTAATAGTTTATAAACAAAAAAAAAACATTTTTCAAATTAATGAATCATACACATGATAATTTGTTGTTGTTCTTATCATTTCTTATCTCACTTAATCTATTATAAATTTAATTCTATAGTTGAATTCATGAGTCAATTGAAGCTAGACCATCATGGAAAACCTGAAAGCACTAGACGGCCGTTTCGTCCTGTTGCGAAACTCCTCAGCAGTGCTCATCCACGATCATGCCTCGCAAAATTCGAATCCAGAACCTATCAGTCTCGCGCGCGAGCACTTAACTGATAGATCAGTGAGTCGACATCTAAACATATTAATGTCAAATTTCAATCAATCCACGATATTGAACAGCTGCCTACCATTGTCTTCACAACAGACCCGGTCCCAATTAGACGATTTGGATTTCGCAGATGACCTAGCCCTCCTCTCTCATACACACGAACAAATGCAGATGAAGACAGCAAATGTAGCAGCAGCCTCCGCATCAATAGGCCTCCACATTCACAAAGGAAAAAGCAAGATTCTCAAATACAACACGGAGAACACCAACCCAATCACACTTGATGGCGAAACCCTGGAAGAGGTGGAAACATTCAAGTACCTGGGGAGCATCCTTGATAAACAAGGAGGATCGGATGCAGATATAAAGGCGAGGATTGGCAAAGCAAGGGCAGCATTTCTACAATTGAAGAACATATGGAACTCAAAACAACTCTCAACCAATTTCAAGGTCAGAATCTTTAATACGAACGTTAAGACAGTCCTAATAAATGGAGCCGAAACGTGAAGAACTACTACATCGATCGTCAAGAAGGTACAAGTATTTATAAACAATTGTCTACGCAAAATACTCAACATTCGTTGGCCGGATACTATCAGCAACAGCGTTTTACGGGAAAGGACAAACCAGCTTCCAGCTGAAGAGGAAATTAGGAAAAGACGTTGAAAGTGGGTAGGACATACATTGAGGAAATCACCAAACTGCATTACGAGGCAATCCGTCACTTGGTATTTGGAAGGGAAGCTGAAAAGAGGAAGGCCAAAGAACACATTACGCCGGCGAATAGAAGAAAATATGAAAACGATGAATAACAACTGGAAAGAACTGAGAAGGATTGTTTGTGATAGGGTTGGATGGAGAATGCTGGTGGGCGGCTTATGCCCCTCTACGAGGGGTAACAGGCGTAAGTAAGCAAGTAACAGACCCGGTTGAACTTCCGGGTTTTCGATGGTGATCTAGCTCCAATTGGCTTATAAATTCAACTATAAAATTATTAAAATCTTTACAAAACACCCTTCTGATAATAAATTTAATACATTTGTTTATTTATTGTTACATTTCATATGGATTAAAATCGAAAGTTCATTCCTTCACAAAATTGATTTCTTTAAATACTATAAGTAAGATGTTTACTAAGTGATTCTTATTATGAAATATATAGTATTAAGTGATTAAAAATAATCACCAAGATGTTTTAATCATACTCATGTACTCGGTTTATACACATTTGTAAACTTCTCATCCTAATACTTTCTTACTAAAGCAAAATAAACAAAATCTCTTCAATGGATTTATATTTAAAACATTGAACAGATACCTTTGGTATTTCACAAAAAAACACATTAGGATTAATAATAATTGTGAAAGTAAATCAGTAACTACAACAATGAAGAATAGCGAATAAATCAAAGAACAATTTTTCATTACTATAAGGAATTTATGGAAACTATGGAAGTTTTAATAATTTTAGTCACTAATCGATTTTAGCTAGGCCAAAATTGAAGGCTTGAAAGCAACTGACAGACGTTTTCACTTATTATGGGACTACGAAGAAGTTGTCATCCATGACCCCACATTCAAGAATCTAACCAAAGATCTTCGATCCCATACACGAGTGCCTAACCTCCAGAACACTGAGACGAGGTACAATAGCGTTAATGTCTAACTAATCCATGATATTGTGCACTCCACATCGATTCCATGAGGTAGATAACTGTCTCACACTTGACATTATTGGATTCCACTGGTCACGACCTCTGATCAGAACTTCAGGAGTTGCATCTTCAAGATAGTTACTAGTGAGAAAATGTTTGTTATTCATATAGAATGACCTGTAAAAATTGTAGAACTATCACAGCTTGAACCACGAGTTTTGTCCTTTTTTTAATTTCATTTTAATGATACAACTGACGTGTAAGATCTTTTTGTAAGTTACTTTGTACCATTTCAATCTAGAGCATTTCTTGCCAGTTCCATTTTTTTGATTTTATCTACTGACCTACAACTTGTAAAAGTAATAAACTTAGTTATAAGTCATTTAAAATTGTTGTTTTGGCAGTTCATTCGTACTTATCAATATTATGCTGGTGTCTGAAATTTTCATATCCATTGTTCTATTCTATCCCTATATATATGAAATATATGAAGTAATGAACTTTTAATTAGAAGCACATTCTAAATCCCCATTTTTCATTTCATTTTCACAAAAAAAGAATCAAGCCTGGATATCGTTAGTAAAGACATTCAATTTACAATGAGCCACAATAATCCATCGTCTATTCATGGACAATATAGCGACAGTTATCAGATAAAATCTGATCCATAATTAATATTCATTGTAATATTCTAAATATATTACAAATTTATCTTAATTTTTATATGTTTATTTTTTTTTACAGCTGACAATCCTTGTCAAATCAATAACGGAGGCTGTCAACATGAGTGTCATAATGTAAATGGTGTAGTTCATTGTAGTTGTCACGAGGGTTACCAATTAGTCCCTCATGATTCAAAGAAATGCACCGGTAAGAGTGAATACATGTATATTTAAGTAGACTGTTAGACACAATAATCTTGTGCAATACATAAGCTGTCTTATCTTCCAAAATAAACATTTAGCATCCTGATATATTTACATATATTATATGCTATATACTCTGTTTATTCAATTAGTGAAAGATTTATTGATGATAAAAACCATTTTACCTTCATCTTGTGCTCACTTTATATATATATATATATATATATATATATATATATATATATAAGTTATCAAAACACCTTGTTGCCTCTGATTCAGAAACTAGTGAAACTAATCATACTTTTGTTACTTGCTCAAAATTTGATCAATATATTGGAAAAATAAGCTCAAAAATCCGATAGTTGACGTAGAGTTGAAAAAACATTTCAAGTGACTATTTCAAAAGTAAATCAACATTATCACTTTTTCAAATAATCATTAACAGAATATAACATTGTTGAACAATTCTTTTATTTATATTTTTCACACTACTGAAATCATCATTAAACTACTGAATTTAAAAATTCACTGTTTTGAAGCTTTCCAATATCAACTTATTCATTGTGTATTTTCAATTTACTCTTTATAATATTTAATGAATATTTATCCTTAAATTGTAATTTAAACACAGTTTATATCTATATTTACCTTAAACTGACTTTTATAAATATACGAATATAAAAAAGTAAAGTTTAATGAAATTTAATTACATACTCATTATTTATCAACAATAATATTGAACATTTCAAATAAAAAATTCTATTCACTTCCTTTACCTCCGCCGACAACACAGAAACTTTAATGAGAATAAATGATGAGCCATTATGGGTTTTTTTTCATTCCCTTCCTTTTTAAAAAAATAAAATACAATACGATATAGTACATTCATTAATACTAACTAATGAATTAGAATGCACACTCTGATGTGGTATTTTTTATCTAAATATTGTTTACTGAAAAAACTATGGTAAATTATCAGTATTTCAAATAGGTCACATTTTTATGATGATGATACCAATTTTATCCGATACTTTTCTGTTGTTTCTTTCTCTTACATCAAGTGAATAACTATATGGTTTTGGCAATTAATTTGAATTTGATGAAATGATAACGATCATAGTGATAACAATATTAATAGTAATCGCAATTGATTGATCACTGGGTGGTGATCAATGTCATGTTTGTCAAGTCCTTCTTAGTGCAGATCGAATTCTATCGATCAAGTTGCAATACGGCCACAAGTCTAGGTGGCTCAACACTACGTGCACAATGTTGAGATAAGATGATGGTTGGAGGTGATCAACAGAGACCCTGAACCCGGTTTTCGTGTTACTTGGCACTCGTCAGCAAGGTGTACTAAGGAGAACTACTTTGAGAAACTAGTTTAATTGCTTGTCATTTAGTTCAGTTAATAAATTGCAAGAAATTTCTTAATCTGTAGGAAAAAAATATGAATGTAGATTAAAAATACTGTAGTTAAATATCATCACAGAAAATCATCAGCTGTATATTGTATGAAACTAGAATATAGACGAAATGTATTGAGTTTACATAAAACATAAAGTTAATCATATCTATAACTGACCTTTATATATTTTTTTATAGTAAACCTTTGATATTCATGTTGAATACAAATGATATTGATATGTTTTTTTTAAAACGTTTTTTGTTATAAAACAAAGTAATTAAATTCATTTAGTATTGTTTGTTTGAATTTTTCCATTGATGTTTAGGACTGCAACTGATCAGTTTCTAATTGGCATATGTGCATACTGTACGTATTGCCTCCACTGTTAGCCACTATCCATCTTTGCTTAAAAAGTAATTAAGTCTAATTAGTGCATATATAGTTAAACCATACATTAGAATATCTGAAAAATATATGGATATTGACATTATCTTTACCAAAATTTGTCAGATAAAATTTATAAGACTTTTTATAATATCTGAGATCATAAGTCAATTGAAGCTAGACCATCGTGGAAATCCTGGAATCACTGGACGGCCATTTCGTCCTCAGTAGTGAGCGTCCACCATCCCGCACGTGGGATTCGAACCCAGCACATGGGTTCGATCTATATTTATTTCGTTCATGAATAATCTTATAATTTTACTTAACATATATACGGATTCAAGTTAACTTTCTATATGAGTCAATATCAACATTAAGAATTTTATTCTAATAGTTTTTACATTTCTAAATTCATATAGATATCATTGCCAAGTTTTTGTTCGATAATTTTGAATAAATTGAGCATTGAGTAGATTGTTATAAATAAATAAAAATATATTTGTAACATCCCAATGAGTAGAAAAATTAGATTATCTTACGTTTCGTGACTCAGTGTACTATTTATACTATTTAAACTTGGATTAATGTTAATTTGGTTATTTATCCCCTGAAGAAGTGACTTACACTGAGTTACGAAACGTCAGAAAATCTAATTTTTCTTCTAAATTCACATGTTATAATTTCAAACGATGTACTTTGCCCTTAACTTAGATATATAATTGCAGAAGCTGAAGAGAATTTATGGAAAAGAATATTCTCCCATTCAAATATCAATCTTTTATTATAATAATAATTAAAATATTTCATTTTTTTACTAATCATACCATTTTATTATACCCTTAAAAGTATTCTTGTTTTCGTTTTATTAAATTATTTTCTTTCAAACTAAATAAATTAAACTAAAATTCAATTTTCAATATTTTTTTAAATCAAAATTTATTTATTGTTTAAAGAAATTGTGTATAACGAATTTTTGAAGAGGAAATTCATTGACTTTTAACATTTAGTTAAATTTGTTTTGTTTTTTTCAACATTAACAATACCGATAACATAGGGGGGATAGTTATATTGTTTAATATAAAAAGCTATGGGGGAGGAAAAAAAACAAACTGAAACAAATCAACCGCAATTGTAAAAACATTTTCCATCACTCTCATTACTACACTTTTTTTATAACCAATATTCAGCATATGTGTATGCATGTGCGTATGTGTCTGTGTGTGTGAATGAGAGTATGTGTGTATGATTGTGTCTGTAAAACAGAGAGTGGTGGTGTACATTCACTTGTCATTTCAATATCTCAATAACAAGTGTGTTTTCTTTTTATCATTCATTCAATGAAGTGATAAAAAAAATCTGATAATTATTCAACTGTATGATGAATAAATCTAAATGTCACATTAGTACATCCTTATCAATAATTAGTATGCAGTTTTTGTTCTAAATTTTTAATAAAAGAATACGAATTTCATCTTAATTTTAAACCACATTGATAATAATAACGTACTGTCAAACTTATCGACAAGAAAATATTAATTTTAATGGTTCAGATCATGAGTTAATTGAAGCTAGAACATCATGGAAAACCTGGAAGCACTGAACGACCGTTTCGTCCTATTGTGGGGCTCCTCAGCAGTGCACATCCACGATCATGCCTCACGAGACTCCAGTCCAGCACCTATTTGTCTCGCGCGCGAATGCTTAACCTTTAGACGACTGAGCCCGCCTTTATACAACGGTGTTAATGCCTAACTTCAACCAATCCACGAGATTGAGAAACTATCCACCATTGTCTTCAGTTAGTTGATATCTCATAACAGACCTGGTTGAACTTGACTGGTAAATGCTTCTCACTAGAACTCCAGGAAATATCCCTTGGAAACATCCACTAGTGAGCATATATTGAATAATATCAGAAAAAAGTATTACATAATTTCAGATTATTTTAGATTGATAGAAAATGGAGAGGAGAGATAATTAAACTACCTAGTCAAAAGTTGTTATTTCAGTAAATTTATTGAAATCCCTTTTACCAAATCGTACTTATTTCATTAATGTGTATTATTATTTTTATATTTTACGAATGAATGTGATCGGCAATATATATATATATATATATATATATATATATATATGACCTACTCTATTAGTTATTAGATCGTCTAATGAGGATTATCTTTTTGATCGACATTTCTATAAAAAAATTATCAGATATTATAGCGATTATTGGGGGAAATGTTAAATACGTTCCTAAATCCATTTGTACATCTTGTCAAACATTTTCAAAATGGTTATAATATTTATGTTGGCTTAGGAGTTAATGAATCTTACCTCCCACATATTTGCTTTGAATCATGAATTAAGATTTTTGATCTCATTTACTATTTCTCAAATGTTTGTTGGTCTTTTTTCAATGGTCAGTATTAATGTAATTTGATTTATGTGAAATCAAATAAATTAATACTAATTAGTTGAATTCATGAGTCCAGGACCTTCGGTCACGCTTGAAAACGTTTAACCTCTACACCACTCAGTCGGACAGCATCCAACGGTATTAATGTTCAACTTCAACCAATCAACGATTTTGCACCACCATCCACGAATCCTGCGTGTGAGGTAATGAGTGAGCGCTACTGAGGAGTCTCATACTAGGGCGAAACAGCCGTCCAGTGCTTCTAGGTTTTCCATGGTGGTCTAGTGTCAACTGACTTATGAATTCAACTATTAAATCATTACATTCTCCATAAAAACCCAATCCAATAATAATATTAATTACTTATGAGTAATTCAACTGTTCCATTGAAATTATATGATTGAAATTAATTCTGCTAATTTCTTTCATTTGTTCTTTGATTTTTTGCAGATATTAATGAATGTAGCATGAACAATGGAGGTTGTCAACAGCTATGTAGAAATGTAGATGGTTCTTACAGCTGTGATTGTAATCCTGGTTGGCAAATAGGAAATGATGGGAAATCCTGTTATCGTAAGCTAATTCATAGTCGCTTTTTTTCTTTATAGTTGAATACTATATTATTAGAGCTGTTAGTTATATTATGAAGGAACACATTTCTGAATCACAATATACAATAAAGTTTTGATGGGATTTATAGTTTTAGGAAGAAATGATTTCTTGATCGAATTTATTGACGCATCGAACTAAGATATAGTATATAATAGTTCTGGTTAGCGTTTTTTTAGCGAGTTAGCTTTTCTACGGGATGGGGTCGCTAACCCCATGCCCAACACTCCTCCTTTACCCGGGCTTGGGACCGGCAGTAACTCTAGAAGAGCTACAGGCGGAGTTCGTATAATAGTAGTAGTAGCGTTATACAAAGCATATCGTTGTAAAACACTTCACAAATTCTACTCCCTATTTAAGCATGAACAAAGATTTCGAAGTAAATTTCCAAAACGGATTCTTGATGTCAAATTAATGAACGCCTTACATGTTGAATTACAGTCTCCTTTTGTTAAAAATCTTATGAAGGTCTTTTCTTTGTTATAACAATTACCGATTCATCAGAGATAGAAAAAGATGAGCTTGTTATTTATAATCAAAGGGTTGGAATGATTAAGCACATTCTTATATCGCCAAGATTATGAGGCTAAAGAAAATACAGGAATTTCTATCTTCCAATGTTTAATTTTGCCATATAGTTTAACACAGATCGAAATACGAATAGAAGTAATTTTTATGGAAGTAACTTCATACCGTTGTCTGTATTTGCAAAGCCAGATTTTTGGTTTCCAAATTATTTCCTCAAAGAAAGCTAGTATTTTCACTCTTCGCGGGATAAATGCGAGTGGTCTAAGTTTTACAACTTAAATGACATCTCTTAGCAATAGATCACCACGTAAAAGGTTACAGGTAAGTAAGGTTTCTTACTTTAGGCAGTTTGAATTTCGTTCATTCAGACAGTAAAACGGATTTTTCTTTTAAATTGCATACTACAGTTATAGGAGCACATAGTTACTTCGGAATAATACCCTTACCCTTTATCAATTTTTATCACTTAGGTGTTGTCTTAGAAGTAAGTGACCCATGTCGATTTGACAATGGTGGATGTACACACATTTGTTCAAGAACAGATTCTGGAACAGCAGAATGTTCTTGTAGTCCAGGTTATGATTTACAAGCTGATGGTCGAACTTGTTCAGGTTAGTTAAAATCCTTTATCTGATATATTATTAAATAATTTGTTGCTCCGTTCAGTGTTTTACAATATATATATAATTGTATAGTTATTTCATATATTTTATAAAGTTAATGCATGATATCCAATCGGAATATTTTACCGTGAATAAGTTTTAAAAACTTAAACGCGATGGCGTTTGAAGCGAAAGGTGAATATCAACTCTGAGATTCAGGTACATCCAGCTGACAAGCCCCAAATAGGACAAAACGCGCATCCTGGATTCCACTGATAGCCACTATCCATCTTTGCTTGTAATACTTGTAAATTAAGACTATATAGAGGCAATACGCACAGTATGCACATATACCAATAAAAGACTGATCAATTGCAGTCCTAAACATCTATGGGAAAATTCAAACATGCAATTGTAAATGAAGTTAATACTTGAGGTTGTTAAATACAAACTATTCCATCTTCTTACCTAAAAATTTGTCACACATTTAACAGTGATCATCAGTTTTGTAAAAGATAATTTTATCGGATCTTCTACTACGTGAAAGGATGAGATATCTTGTAAAATATAAAACTATCGTCTAACATTAAAATGATGACAAAGAAAACAATATTAAAAAACTAACACTAAGTTGTAGTTATTTTCGAACTATCCATACAATGAAACTTATTTTATCCATCATAATACTACTTACAAAATATCTTACTAGAATGCCATATAAATATAACATTATAAGGTGTCCGTAAATACGAAGTAATAAGTTACCAACTTTATCTATAACGAAGTTTTAAGTTAGTTTAGAGAGTTTTAGACAATTTGTCATTAACATTGTCTCTTCGAATGTAGAACGTTTTATACTTTAAATTTTCCTTTCAAATTAACTAGATCGTGATGAATGTGTAATTGGTGAAGCTAATTGTTACGGTCAAGCTGTAATTTGCATTAACGAACCAGGAACATACCGTTGTGAATGTCAAACAGGATTTCGCATCAGCCCAGATGGACATTCATGTCAAGGTAAATAATTGTTGCTTGCTTAATACTGATACGTTAATTACATCGTCAATAAGTGAGATGACTGATATTAAGTAATTTCGAAGTCGATAACGATAGAGTTCGAATATGTTCAAAGCTAGACACATATCACTGATGATAACTGAAGACAATTGTTGAATATCACTAACTGGCCGATGTAGAAAATATAGATCATTAAATTCTGTCTCATCGGCTTAAAAATAGCATAATCATCATAAGTCTAGAAGGATCTACAACTGATTACTGGCAAAGTCATGGACAAACTCTACTCGAACATTTAAAACTAGAACGAAGCAAATATCTACATACACAAGTGATCAAACTATAATTTTTTAAAAGTATTTACACAATTCTGAGTGTTAATAGTTCTACAGATGACTTCAATTTACTTCTAAGATTACTTCTAAAATTCTTGTAACTTAATGGCAACATAGAGGCAGTCTGTACATAATGCGCATAATCCATAAAAATCGTCTAATTGTAGTTCTTAAAGTAAACAACGAGAAGATCTATCTCTAGCATGTTTTAATGAAAGTCTGTTTCAACAGTTTTAATCTATACTTAAGTTAGTTAAAATTAAAATTAATTTTCAGATATTGATGAATGTCTGGACGACAACGGTGGATGCGAGTTTCAATGTGTGAATACAATAGGCGGTCATAGGTGTTTGTGTGATTTTGGTGATGAATTGAACCCAGATGGAAGAACCTGCTCACGTAAGTGAAAAACATTTCTACTACTTTTAGTATTTAACTCTATATTTTATCATATATGAAGAATATGTGAAGAGCAAAGTAAATGTTAACTTATCACACAGTAATATACAGTGTACAATCAAAATAAAAAGCTAAAGTTTGAAACAATAAAGCAATGACAATATTTGTGGGATAAAATGTATTCATTTAATTTTCAAGACTACTAGGTAGATGCAGAATGCCTAAAGTTATAATAAATTGCAGAATAAGACAGAAAAACTAGATATATTCTGGTAAATGAAACTGAATTCTGGTTAGCATTTTTTTAGCAGAGCTGATTTCTACGGGATAGGATTAATCGTCCCATGACCAACCTTCCTTTTCTACCTGGGCTTCGAAATGGCACTAACCTTAGAAGAACTCAAGGCGGCCTACGTCCCTCCACGATGGGTAACAGGCTTAAGTACGCAAGTAAATGAAACTGAAGCGAAAGTGGATGAAGAATGCAACAGTGAATCAAAAGAAAAAGACATACAAAAATGTGACTATGTGCTATGTATTTGAAAATGTTGGATATTTTAATAAGAACAATTGATATATTTTAATTTTCACAAAGGATATTTTCATATTGAAAATCCAACCTTACAAAGTAAGGGTGGTAAATGGTGATAAAAAAAACTAGTGGTTACATGTATGGACAAAATTAATTTTGGAAAATCAACGTATTAAATAAGTAAAAATCATGAAGTTAACATAAGACCGAAATTCTTTCATGATGATTATGTCAAAACATAAAATGACTTTAATCACACGTTTTACTTTTGAATGCATAAAGATGACCTTTATACGTTAATTTTTCACAGTAAATATAGGTCAGTTAGTCAGACGATGTCAAAGTAGACCCTAAAATAAATGTAATAGGCTTAACAAATTACAGGAATCGCCCTATTTATCAACTATATGGTTGAAAAAATTATCAACTTTTATTTAGTACTTGGCACAACATACCCGTTCCATCCTCATTTACATATTTTGTAACATCTGTGGAGATCCTCAGTACTCAGATTATTTGATTAACCTGTAGTTCAACTTCCTGTCAGAATCATGTGCTCAGATGATGTTTCTGAATTCAGTTAATCATCACTAATCTGATGGTTGGAAAATGTACATGGTAAATAATAGATGATGTTCCGATCGATACAAAAGGTACTTGGGTCACCCTTGAAACCTCCATACCTTGAGTGTGATCACTTGGGGAAAAACTTCTCTCTCCAATGTTTTATTTTCACATACTTCCTTCAGCATTGCACGAATTTCTTGGGAACTTTTCCTATGTTTTTCTAAAAATTTGGTGTAGCTTAGTTCATGAACTCATCAGAAAAAACTAAATATAAATACACTATTAACTAAATAGTTACACTAATGGATGCTAAGTTTATTTATGGTATTTCTAACACTAAGTATATTACTCATTTCCATGTCTAGTGAAATAATCACGTATATTAAAATCTATTCATTCTTTTAACAAGTTAAACCTTTACAGAGAAATATTTTCATATAGACCTAAATGATTAAAGTAACAGATCGAGTATTAGAACATTTTAAAGGATATCCGTATATTTTCACGATTTATTTTCTGTATTCATTCTATTATATCTTTTTTTCTTTATTCTAGGCTCATCCAGTTATGTACGAGATGATTCTAGTACGTTATTCACACCGACAAAACAAAATCGCAAACAGTTGAATATGAAGCCAACACAACGAATCTTAATAGGTGATGTTCATCAGTTTTCAAAACCACGAACATCATTTGATTCAAGTTAGTTGTAAAATGAGATAACTGTCATTGTTTTTGTCTAGAGAATCTTGATTGGGGAGCTATTTATACATATACATACATTTTTAATGATGGTATTAGTAGTTCTCCAAGTTTCAGCTCCGCACAATAGGACTATCTTGACGTTCGTATTGGCGATTCTGATTTTGATGTCGGTTGACAGTTATTTTGAGTTCCATATGTCCTTTCCTTTACTTCTGCATCAGATTCTCCTTGTTCATTTATGATACTACTGACCAGGTACATGAATGTTTCCACATCTTCCATAGCTTCTCCATCAATTGTGATTGAGTTGGTGTTCTCCGTGTTGTATTTGAGAATCTTGCTTTTTCCTTTGTGTTTGTTGAGGCCTATTGATGCAGAGGATACTGCTACATTAGTTGTCTTCGTCTGCACTTGCTCGGGTGTATGGGATGGGAGGGCTAAGCCATCTGCAAAGTCAAAATCGTCTATTTGATTCTGAGATGTCCATTGCATTCTGTGCATCCCCTCAGATATCGATGTCTTCATAATCAAGTCAATCACCAGAAGAAAGAGGAAGGGTAGAGTAAGCAGAATTATCTGATTCCAGTTCTCACTTGGAATGCATCTGTCAGTTGTCCTCCATGTATGACTTTGCACTGTAGTCCTTCGTATGAACTCCATATGATATTGACGATCCCCTCAGGTACACCATAATGTCGAAGTTTCCATAAGGTCCTCCAAACCATACCGTCGAACGCCTTCTCATAATCAATGAAGTTGATGTCGCGATTTGATGGGTGCACGAAAATGTTTACGGAATTCGACCTATTGATCTCGAATATGGGCGTCTACTGAAAACGTTTCCTGGTACCGATGGTAATGTGATGTCTTTGTAATTCTCACATTTGTTCAGGTCTCCTTTCTTCGGCATTTGAAGAGATATCCTTCTTTCCAGTCTGTCTGTGGCACTTTTTCTTTCTCCCAATCTTCCTGAATAGAACGTCGAGCATGTTTGCAGTCACTTGTTTGTGTGATTTCAGTGCTTCAATTGGTATGTTGTCAAGTGTAACTGCCTTCCCACTCTTGTTTCGTCTGATGGCCATGCTAATTTCTTCGATCATTGGTGGGGTGACACCTGTAGGAAGGTTTGAAGGGGCTGGTTTGATGTTCGGCGGATTCAGTGTGGCTGGTCTATTCAACAGTCCTTCAAATTGTTGTGCCTACTTATTCCGCTGTTCTTGGGTCTCAGTGAGTGACTTACTTCCCTTGTTCTTAGACAGTCGCTCTGGTTTACCATATTTCCCTACCACTTTCCTCGTTTTCCCTTTGAATTCCACTATTTCTCATAACAATCTGACAGCAATGATTTTGAACATTCTTTATTTCAACTTAGCATAATCACCAGATTTGATACTCAAAATGTAGGATTCCGAAACTAGGCTTTTGTATGGAGTTAGTTTATATGATGTTTCACATCACACGATCTAAGATCAAATCAGCCAAAAACTACTATAATCGTATACACAATTATTAAATTGAAATAATAATATATTTTGGGGATATATTTTCACCAATGATTTTATTGAGTATACATTCTTATTATTCGATAGTTCTCTCGACTGTTCTATGCGTAATATACAGTTGCAACGATATTCCATTGTCAAGTAAATTACTAACCACAAAACTTTCAATGAATGCGTATTCATGTAACTTCATAATTCTTATTCTTAACACTTATAATTAACCATAATACACTGATTATCTAGACTTTTATTATAAAAAGAATCTCATACACAGAATAGTTTTGAAAAGAAGTTAAAATTATGTTAACACAAATTCCAACTATATACCAGTCAGTTAAATAATAATGTAGTGAACAAGACCAGTAGTGGGGACTACCAAAGATGTTTGGATATAAAATTACAGAACGTATTACCAAAATCCGAGAACCATACAGTAGATACTTCATTTGCAAAATGTCATTTAATTGTCTCAAACTTGATTGCTTCTTCAATTGCGCACCAATCGTTTTCTGTTCTAGTTTTCTATTCTTTGATCTTAACATTATGCCTTCAGGCATTCCATTTTCGATTTGTGATATATACTATTTATATCTGAAGTCATCAGTAGCACACACTATAATAACATCACTGATAAATGTGTGAATTAGAAATATGTTTTGGGTAAAAACCATGTTAGAAGAAGTTGTTAGAGAATTTTCTTATTTATACATAATCCTGGTTTCTTCAAAGGTATGTTGAAGGCATTAAGAATGATAAAGTGACGAATGCTCATTGTCTTTGGTAAGTTTTTATTTACCCTCTGAATGAATTCAAACGATGAATCAGTTTTGATTAAACGATCCATGTCCATTAGATATTCGGTTATTGATCTACCTATAGAATTGGTGCTCTTTTCTCAACAAAGCCAGTATGGTCGATAAGCTTGATGCATTTTAAAAACCTTAGCAATTAAAATTTCATTTTCCTAACGAGAATCAGGTCACCTGATCTATGTATTTCAGTTATCTGCTAATATGTTCCGTAAATTATAGCTATCAGTAACAACCACGTGACTCATTATTGTAGAAAGAACTGTGTATTTGATAGTTCTTTTGAAAGACAACTCTTCTCTCAATCACTTTTTCTCACTTAATGTATCAACAAGTGTTTCTCAATTCACTTATAATCTGTTTGAAAAGATTTAGATGAGTAGTTTTAATCAATCTTCGAATGTTCTTTAAATACTTATGTAACTTTAATTAAAGTTAGAAGAACCATAATTGCAGGATAAAGCAAATTCATTATATTTCAAGGCTTCTCATTAGCTAGCTGAGTTTCCATGAGTAGTAATATTACGTTTTACTACATATCATAATCAGTTAAGCTTAGTTTTAAACCATGTAGGAAATAACAGGAAACCATGTACTTAACATATTAGTTAATATTGATTAGTACTTTTGTGTAAAAATCATAAAAAAGGGGATAAAACTGTAAATGATAGTCGACAGACAATGAATAAAAACAAACTAATAACAAATGAATGATAATCAAGGCGCCTATTTAAATGAAAATTAAAGATAGCGTTTCAAGCGAATGTCAATGGGAATTTATACTTTAAGTTATAAACCGTAATGAAGCGATAATTCAACTGACAATCGTTACAATACGAATATCTTACCATGCCGATAAGGGGTTCACCACACTTTCTTTCTGTATACAATGGTCAGGTTAAAAGCACTTTATGGCAGTGGTCTCTGCAAAACGGAGCAAAAGTGATGTACGCTTCCAATTTAATTATTTTTAATGCTTTTGAGACATCAGCGTTGTGTCTAATATTCATCATATGTTTGGTGATCACCCTTGTGAATACTTTGCTTCCATACAGACATAACTTACAGGGAATAAGTTCATAACATCCTGTAGATATTCTTTTTTTAATTCTTCCTGTGTACACCCTTTCACATGCACATGTAATGATGATGTCAACAGGGTACTGAGTCACTTTTGTTTGATTTAGGGAATGTCTGGTTTTATATACCAAAAATAGTTGTACTGCAGGAAAGCTTCTGTGTAGCGCTGCGTTGGTCGTTTTACGATCCTGCTTCAAATTTCTCATCTTTGAATTCGAATCACATGAAGACAGGTTTTCTGTTAAAAATTGCTTGTTTTAAACTTTCCTTAATCAATTTTCTGCATGTCGCAGCAAATTTTTTTTGATATCCGTCCTCTATGAGGGGCTCTTTAATGTATTGTATTTCTTCTTGTAGTTCTTCGTTTGAACTCATCCTTATAACTTGTTAAACAAGGTTTTAGCCAAACAATGGTTGTAACTGACAGGATAGGAACTATCATAATTTAAGTATTGCCTTGTCCACGTTTCTTTTCTAAATATGATAATCTCCTCCCTTTATTTTATTTCAGGACTAAGTAATTAAATTGATTAATTCCATATTTCATCATGAATATGATGTTAACATATACTTCACCAAACCGGTAAATTAACTATGAGCCAAGACTCATATTATTAAAAACAATAAGTGTATGGTCAACATACCTACTGTATAATGCTACATTTTCAACATATTGCTTAAGTTTCGTTTGTTTAAGAATAGCCATAAAGATGTGGGTCAACACAGACTGTACTGATGATCCCATGGATATCGCATCAATTTGTCTGTACTAATGGTTATGGAATTTCAATTGAATCCCTTTAATGTATGCTAATAGTAATTTTCTAAACTCATATTCAGGCAAAGGAGCTAATTCAGAATACTAACATACAATATTGATAAATTCTTCCATTAATATATTTGTAAATAATGAACAAGCATCAAAGGATGCTTATCTGATACATCCATATAATCGATTTCTTCAAGGAAGTATTAGTTACCATATCTCTGAGATTTGGTCATTAACTAATTATCTCTAGTTTCAACATGTCAATCTTATTTTTCATTAAGATTGATCATATTTTGTACACTTTCTATTTCTTTCCTTGTTCAGTGATGCAACAAGATGATTCGTCTATTTATCAAAATGATTTTCATATTGGTTTGTTTGTTTTTTCTCCTCTAGTTAATGAATATGTTGCATGTGATATATTCAAGTGATCTAAATAATTGTTGTTTAGATTATTTTGAGAATCAATTCTATCTGAATTTCTTATCTAGAAGTATCCATATCCTAAGAATTGGACTCTTAGTCCAACTATTATTATTATTACTTGATATTAGACTTGAAGATTACAAATCTAATCTTGAATAATATAAATGAATTATGATTCAAAGAAGTTCATTGCCTATTCAAATAATCACTTACTATGAAGTGATTTTTAGTTTTTCTTCAGTTAATATTGATTCTCAATTAAGTTTATCTTAGTTTCTATGTGTTTTAACCATCATAATCTGGTGTTGTCTGTCATAGTAATTTCTAGTCTTGTAGAAGTGTTGTCATAAAAACTGTTCATAATTAAAACATTGATATAATTAATTAATTAAGTTTTCTTTCTAATAATTCTTTTTAATCATAGGGGGTAGTTTATGTTTACCTGGACGATTTGGACATGATTGTAGTTTTACATGTTCACATTGTGAAAATGGTGGTCGATGTAATCGAGATTTAACTGGATGTGAATGTTCATCTGGTTATAAAGGAATTATCTGTGAAGAAAAATGTCCAAAGGTATAAGAAATAATTAAACTTATATAATTATAAAATTTATTAATAATTTATTTTTGAATTATTTTTTCTGATTAGCGTTTTTTAGCGGGTTAGTTTTCTATGGGATGGGGTCGCTAACCTCATGCCCAACCCTCCTTCTTTATACGGGGTTAGGACTGGCAGTAGCCCCTGAGAGGCTACAGGCGGAGTTATTATAACATGAGATAATTAATTTTTAAAGTATCTTTTAATGCTTAGAATTATTTATTTAATTAGAATTGTTCTAAACTGTATGTTTTAATTCAGATTGATCACTTTAGGACTTACACTTACCATTCGTAAATGTAAATGCTAGGTACATAGCTCGTTATATCTAGATATTAGCTTAAAACCATCCTGTGTAAGTACTTTTGAGGACTTCAGCGAAAGAATGGAAAATCATCCAGTATTATTTCGTAATGTATGTAACTGTTAAATGGTGTTTATTTCATATAGTTTATTGTCAAATTAAATACTCAAATTTTCACCTGGAAAAACAGAAAAATACAAACTATTACTTGAACTGTTTTTCTAAATTTATCGTAGCCACTTAGTGTAAGTACTTTTTCCCTTTTATTAATCACTTTCATTATAGGGACTATGGGGTGTGGACTGCAGACAGTACTGTGACTGTGCAAATGATGTCGACTGTGATTCAGTAACTGGGGTTTGTCAATGTCCTCTAGGTCGTCATGGTACAAGATGTGAACTGCCCGGATGCCAAGCAGGATTTTGGGGACCTCAATGTGATCGTCTATGCCCAAATCATTGTGCAACAAATCAATGTGATCGTGAAAAAGGCCATTGTACATGCTCACCAGGAACGTATGGGTCGCATTGTCACTTAAGTTGTCCGGAAAATACATGGGGTGAATTGTGTAGTCTGAAATGTCCAGCTGAATGCTTAGACAGTAGACGACATACAAAGGGCTGTGATCCTCAGGTATGTTGATTATGAATAGAAATAGAAAACATTTTGATGGATTAAGTAAGAGAAATTATTTCAAAACTGCATGCGTATTGTTTGCGTCCATAGAAATTATTTAGAATAGCCACTCCTAGTCCTAACGTAATATTTTCACAGTTCCAGAAACGTTAACGTTTATTTACAATATTCATATGCAGCACAAACCATTCCTCATGAGATAAAGATGAAACCATGTATTTGTAACTGGTTGTACATGAATATGATACCTATCACATCGTTAGGTCATTGAAATGAAATCATGAAATACTGTTTGATCAAATGAATTTCTTTGTTGGTTATAATGATTTCTGCTCGATTTCAATCTCCAAACTCTTTGGAAAAATAGTCAATAATACTGTCGTCGCTTTTTAATTCATTTCAAACAGTCAATTGGTTACTTCCTTACCTAAACAATGCCATTTTCAAGGATTTCACCAACTGTTTGATAATTCGTTTCGCGTCAGTTAAACTAAAAGTTTTCTATAAACCACTCTGTTACAAGTATCTAGATGTTTGAGTTGTTTAAACTGATTCCAAGATGGATAATCTGGTTTGACTCAAATAACTCTTGGAAGTAGTTCATTTTAAAATATCTAACAAACAAGTAACCTTTTATAGATCAAATATGAAGTCATTATGGCTTCCATTCGCATAAACAATTTCATTGAATCATACATCTCTTATTGCTATAATCGTGTTGAGTATTAGAAGTAGAAGACAGAAAAAAATTTAGTATTTTGAACTCTCATTTATGTGTTTACATCACAACAATTATGAAGCAGAATTGACAATGCATGTAAATAAACTTTAACTGCTTATTGTGCATTAAGTAATTTGACCATATTATTCTGGAATAATTCTCATCCATAACACATTTAATAATTACTTTTCTTTTTTAGACAGGTGAATGTATATGTAAACCTGGCTATCAACCACCTAACTGTATTCTACCATGCCCGCCGTCATATTTTGGTTTCAATTGTAAAATGACATGTTTTGATTGTCAAAACGGTTGTGATCCAGTGACTGGACGATGTCTTGTTGAATGTCCACCCGGTAAACATGGGTTAACGTGTGAACAAGGTAGATAACATTATAAGTAAATCTAGAATATTTAAATTTATATTTATCTGAATAGGAATAGTCTGTAGGATTACTCCCATTTTACCAAGATAATTATTCAAAACATGTAATGGTCTGTCTGTTAGCTTGAAATACTTGTCAATTTCGTCACGACCCTCTGATTACTTTTTGGTGCAAAAATCATAATAGAACATTTATAAGTCACATATTATCTACAAACATCCTAGACTAGATTTTATTATACTCTGAATTTTTGAATAGATATAATTATGAAGCAAGAATATTGCCGATATCTGATCTAACCAACTGTCACAATGACAGTTTGCAATTTTATCTTAGTTGGTAAATAACTGGAATAATTATCACTTCAATCAACCAGATCAACATCCTGAAGCGTAACAATGATACCCACTAAGTTTACAATTTTCTAAATATTTTATAGGAAGAACCACTAAGACTAATTCATACTTGTGATATAAGGCATTAACAGAATAAATTACAATATTATTACATAGTATTAACAAATATGTTATGAGATGCTCAATATTATTATATATTGTATTAAGTAACACATCAGAAATGTAGATTCATTGTAATTTTCATCTTCATTAGTACAACTGAGTTTACCCTTTAGTAGGGCGTACAATATTACAAAACATAGGATTAAAGACATTTTGCTCTATATGAAGTACTAGGAGACGCAATTCTATGACTAGACTCTCTATATCTGACTCCCTTCATCTTCGCCTGTACGAACATCAATTAGTGGTCAAACGCCATGACATATCCTCACTTATATCAATGCATGTGGACAACTGTGGACACACATTCGACTGGAAAAATGTTGCGATCTTAGTTGGAGGTAATTCTAAAAACACCAGAGAATTTTTAAAAGCTCGGCACTCAGGTCCATGAGCGTTCAGAAAACACATTGAAATCGATCCAATTTATCAATCAATCAGAAAAACCATAGACAAATATAGGACCGAGAATCAAACCGATGGAAGATACAATTAAAATAAAAAAGGAAAGAATGACAGGATAAAGGTCAATAATAACCAATCAAGACCGAGGTCTACAGGACAAGCTGTGAGCCATAAGTGGAGAAGTTCGAATATTTCACTTCTACTTGAAGTTTGCGCTGGTATTATTTTTACTACTTCCGATATCATAGGATTCATTTCATTTAAATATGATGAAGTGGCAAAGTAACATGAACAGTTCCACACCATAGCCAGACTCTAAATGGTTTATGACTAACTAAGTTTGTTTTACAGACATCTCAGAAGTTTTCAACTGTAATCATTTTCATAGCTAACTCCTGAACTTACAATGTCTCCCATGAACACTGAAATCATTTCAACTACTTGTTCAAGTTTTATTGACTTATACTTTGAGACTTAGTTAACTCTTTATTCAGTGTTATGAATTAACTAGTTTTATTCATATAGTTGCTAAATTACAGTTTTATAAACAGTAAGTTTTCGTTGTAAAGTAAGAAAAACCTTTCGTTAACTGTTTTATTAGTGGATGTTTACAATTAACTTCATTTTAATAGGTTGATAATGTATATTCAGAGTTCGAAATTTCATCTTACATCGAACTAACTTTGTGGCTACGGTCGGCCGAAAGAAACCATAGTAAAAAATTAGTTATAACCATTACTCAGTAATATGATATGTAAAAAATCATATCACTTTATTTTATTGGTTACATCACGGACTGAAGCTAGTTAAATCACTATCTTAGATTAGCCGTTATTGTAAACTACAAAATTCAACAATCTCTCTATACCTCTATACTGACAGTAACCTAACGTTCACTAGTGACTTATTTTGAGAAGCAAACCTAGAGAACTAATTAGAAGCCGTTGAGTTCAGTAATAACGAATATGAATCAATTACTCACCAATAATATTCAAAGATTACTGTGCAGCACCAGAAACTAACTGGATCTAGATATATATAATATTGGATCCCAGAGCAGTGGCCGAGAGGTCAAACGCTCTTTGAGTTAGTTCAAGTTCTCTGATTCAAACCCTGGTACTGAATCCTGAATTCTCACCATCGAGAGGTCCCACATTAAAACGAAATAGCTATCCAGTACGTTCTGGTTATCAATGATCCTCAAACTAAGGTTATTCGTGATTTAAACTATGAAGTTTAACTATCTCCAGGAATCTCTGTACTAGTTTTATGGAATTATCTGTTATTTATTGATAAAGCTGTTGTTTAACCTAACCGGTCAATTTTTTTTAGCGTGAACCAATTTTTTTCTCTATTTTAGACTGTCCCCCAGGGTATTGGGGTAAACAATGCTCTCGACATTGTCGATGTGGTTATGACGAAAAAGGGAATATCCGGACATGTGATCCGACGAGTGGTACATGCTCATGTAAAGCAGGTTATCGAGGAAAGAACTGTGATGAACGTAAGCATAATGGAATAATCGCTTTTAAAAGTCAAAATTTTTCGGCTTCATTCTCTCTTTTTCTTCAATAAAAGTTTTTGTACAGCGATTACGAAAATTAAATGGAGCGTTCAAAATAACTAATACTGCTAGTAAATGTGAATGATACTGATGATTGGATCAATTTGTTTAGTTTAACAATTAGTAAATTAATGGTTACCTTAGAAGAAATCATAATATTAAGCAAAAAGTAACCCATGAACTTATTGATACATAAAATGATGTAATACAAAGTTAAAATCAAAAATGTAAATCATTGCTTATTATCATATTGAAAGTAAATCATATCCATACAAATTCTACTAAATATGATCACTGAGTGATACAAAATTTTCTTATAACTTCTTAAGTGTTTAAGTGGGTCAACGAATGATTCTCAGTCTTGATACAATTTTATCGGTCAGTGAATGTGCTAGTATAACAGGCATAATATAATAATTTATAACATCAATCAGTCACAAACATTGCCCAACCATCTTACATTGTCTTCAATGAGTAACTGCCTCACACATAACACAGTTTAGCTCTACTAGTGAGAAACAGTGACCAGCGGAGCTAAACTGTGTTGGGTTTGAGGCAGATACCCATCAAAAACAATGGAAGACGGTCGCGCAATGTTGCTAATTGAGAGAGGCTAAACATTAACACCGTTGGATCCTGGTTCAGTGGCATTCACACGTGAGATCGAAGGTTCTCGGTTTGATATTCATGTGAGAGGCCATAAAAGCCCACTGTTGAGAAGTCCCATGGTAGGACAAAACGGCCGTTCAGTCCTTCCAGGTCTTCAATGATGGTCTAACACTGATCAGTTCATGATTTCAACGAAATTCAACAATTTCCACAATCGTTTACTAACAATAAAGCGTATAAAATGGTTAAATCCCCATAATGTCCAAAAACAAGAGACTTTAACTAACCTTTATAATTTACACCTTCTATTAGGTGCGTACAGCAATATTCATAACGATTAGAAATTATTGGCTGGTGCATCAGAATTCAAGTTTAACTAATAGAAATTGGTATAAAATGACATCAAAAGCCAAACATGTGTGTTTCCAAAGTAATGCTCCACTAATGGTACTCTCAAGGCGGCGAGTATCAAAGGGTGGTTTGATGTTAAATTCATATGAATGTTATTTACAACTTCATATATTTACAAGACAGTATGATGCGTCTGAAAGTGTTGATTTAAATAGTGTGCTAATCCGCATAAATTCTATGTACTCCCATAATCTTCTACTGCTTGTTTCGTTCATCATCCTCCTCCCTACTTGTACTTCTGTTTTACATTTTGCTTCTGAATCCTAGCAGTGAATTGTTTGGCTTCTAATTTACCTACAGTGTACTACTATTTTGAAGCGTTGACAAATTTCAGAAAAATGACACCAATAAGCTAGCTGCAACTTCTGTTTCACCTTACCATATCATTGTTCGTAATCAGATGATGTTTCTCAACGAAACTATGGACATTCGGCTGTACAATTTAGAAAACTGAATTGTTTTGACCTGTTTCTAGTAGATCTCCCAATCCATGCCTTCAAAATAATTCTATATTCTCTACATAGAAAGATAACTTTATTAAACTATCAAATTCTGTTTTGATATTTGCTACAGGTAAGAAAGCTAATGCTACCAAGCGCCGGATCTTCATAGCGAAATCCTCATATGTCATATAATGTTGTTGAAGTTTTGCTGATTGATATGGTCTCCATCCCATAAATCGGTTGAGGTACAACAAGCCTGTTTGTACTACATTAGGATTTACTTGTAGAAGTACCAACATTTCTAAATCTTCGTAATCAGTCGTGATAGTTGATGAATTTAAAGTCATAGTTAGTTTACTCAGTTTGTTAAACATGAACAATTATGAACTTATGCATTCATCGTTCATTAAAATGTAAACCAATTGAATAATCGTATTGAATTTCATGGAATAAATTGTGTAGATCCGTTAAACAATAATTTTTTTCAACAATTTAACTTGAATCGGTTTACAATTCTTTGTATTTAGCCTGTGAAATTGGTACTTACGGTCCAAATTGTCGACTGAAATGTCAATGTGGGATAAGTAATATAGGATGTGATCCAGTTACTGGTTTATGTCAGTGTCCGAATGGAATTGTAGGACATAAATGTAGTATGCGTAAGTGATACATATTTAATAAAGTCATTGGTGGTCCAATAATCTTTACTTTTTAAATCAGACGTTTATTAGCATTATGAGATCTAGTGTATCACGATACTTGAACAGTGACTTCACAGCATACTCTTAGGTGTCTTTTATGAAACAGTTCAAAACAAATTGATCCATCTTTTGTAAACTATAATGCTATATAAAATAAATAAATATATGAATAAAGGAGTATTCTGTGCCCAAATTTTCGATTCAGTACCTAATGTAGGCTTCCTGATACTTGGCTAGCTAGCTTAGCAGGGTACAGGACTAAGAGTGTATCGGAAGCTTTATTTTTTAGGCTGAATTAATACATACATACGTGTGTTTGGTGAAATCACATGATTTTGAACTTTTCAACTGTATTGACAGGAGAGAGTTGGGATTCTAGTTCACGAGAATTATCATTTTATTTCGTGAGTATACGCACCTAATACTAGAGTGGTTCAAAAATTTGTGGGCTGTGATTGTAATCAGATTAATATTCCACTCACTCACAATAATTATGCTCACTCTGTAACTTATCATTTATCCTAAATCATTGACGGAGTAAATTATCTGCCTGGATTTATCTGGTTTATCATAAATCATCTCACTACTCTCTGATATACTTCAATCATTGTTGAGGACTGAAGTGATTATATTAGCAACTAATCTTTATTCAATTTTCTTACTATCACCATTCAATAAATCAATATTCCTATTGTATTTTATATATGGTCTTGACTAAACGAACATTATTATACGATTTACCATTATTTTATTTGGCTTCAGCTAACGTACAAGATTTGAGTACATAATGCATATTCTTTTTAAATGATTAATATCGAAACATTACAAAAATTAATCAGAGTCGAGATTATTTAAGGAAACATAACATTTTATCAGAAAATTTCAAAAAATGACTTTTGAAACTAAACTCAATATTTTATCTGATCCGTTTTAAAAATTTAGCATAACATTAGATATACAAACATTCTAGCCAGAATCTACTCAAGTATACAGCCATGAAACTTTATTCTCAAGAATTTGAAATCTTTAATTCGTTAACAGCACCACCTTTTTGACACTGTGACAGCTAGTTATAATCTTCAAAGGGAACTAAAAGATCTACAGTCTGAGAACAGACATAAGAAACTCAACAAACATGCATTATGTTCGTCATTGATATTAAACATGTTTAACATTCTGAAAATTAAAGTTTGAATTTTCGGTTAACTTACATTTTTAAATACATATTTTCATCCATGAACATCTGTAAATCAAACTTAAGATCTCAGTCTACAGATGCATATGTAAATTCAGTATTTGGCATGACAACAGGTAAAGTATTCCCTGATCACAACGCATTAGAGAAGGATGATAGACATACACACTCATCTTACTGATGAAGTGAGATTTTTAACTCTGGCGGTTGTGTAAGCAAACATTGGTTTTATTAATAAATGATACGCATCAGTATAGTAAATAAAATTACTTTGACTACGATTCTATATACGTTCGTGCGACTCTCTAAGAAAGATGCCTACCAATCTTTGTCCTGTTGTATGATGTATTTTCTTAGTTTGATGTAAAGGCGAGACTATAATTTATGGAGATACCAATCAGATATAAGATAACGAGTCTTGGATTTTGGCTCAAAATTCATTCATACATTTGGCTAAATAGCGTTTTGGCATTATAGCTGATGTCAGTTAGTAATGAAAACCTTAAATCAAATTTCTAACCATAACCATCAACTATAAATTATAATTCTGATTACTCGCATTGGTTTATAACTTTCATTTAGTCTTAGTTAGTTGGCGGGCATTCTCAAGATCACTTTAGCGTCACTCAAAGGTCGCTCATAAATTATAGTCTCACCGATATTCTGTGAATATGACACTAACTTCCAGTGACTTTTTTTCTTTTCTTTCTGTAGAAAATGATATTTATTCACCAGATGACGAACCATGTAAGTGTATGAATTTTCAGTGAAAATAACTAAGTTAGAACTATTTAATTACCAACGACTATAGTTTTAAAAAATTATATTTTTTCTAATGGTTGAGGTTAATCGCAGTATCCTCAGTATTCATTGAGTGTACCATAGGCGATAACTCCATCCATTTAATGAGAGATAGTCACGTATTGTAGTATAATTTTCATTAGGATCTAATTTCAGGTGGTCAGAGTTATTCGAAACTGTTTGCAATGAATTTTTCTAGTATAAAGTTGTCCAACACATTTATTGGGGAACACGAATTTAATATATTTTACAGCTTAAAACAAAATCCTTGGTTTAAATCACATTCTTGTGTATTAAATGAATGAAAGAGTGACCTAAAGGGTTACGTATTGTAAAGTGAACACTGAGTACATCGCGAATAACCGCACCCTTTACAGTAAAATGAATAGAAATTTTGACATTTCTCAGTTTTGTCCAAGTAATCACTTTATTCTCAGTAGAAAAAGAAATATATTCGATAAGTTTGAGTATGCTACTTCATGTCTTTGGAAAATGATTATCATATGAATCAGTTTGTCTGTGGATGAGTAATAGTAAATATGAGATTTAAGGAACGACCATGTGGTTTTAATCTGAAAGTGAAGTAAAGCATGATTTTGAATAAAAAATAATGTGACGTTTTGGAAATAAAGTTAAAGTTGGTAAAAACTTCGTTTTCATTAAATGCTGTATGGGTTTAACATTACACAGAATGTTTCTGCTACTCGTCAATTTTTATAATTACAGAATCTTTTTGGCTGTTACAGTTTTGTGGATATGGGGTATCTCTTTTTCCCGATTCAACTTATGTAATTTCAAGTTTGCTGAACTATTATATATTTTGTGAAGTTCCAAAGATCTTAGATACCGATCAGTATTCCACGAGCCAACTGTCTAGTATAAAATGTAATTTTATGTAAAATGAAAGGATTTATATGAGAAATTTGTTTTTACTACTCATTATTTGTATTAAAAATGTATCCATTGTTTTTATCCTCAATCTATCCGAGATTTGAAATTATCAAATCAAATTTAATAGCTCTGTTTATATAAATATTGATTAAAAGCATAAAATACATTAGTTCTATGCAAAGTCTAAAAGACCAAAGTTCAACAGTTGTCCACACCTGAGTGTTAGTTCATTGTAATACTGATTACAAAATAATGATTCAACCGACCATTTCGTGAACTTATTCATTTGAAACTTTACGTTCATCATCTTCATATTATTTCTTATGTGAAATTCCATATTGAAAATCTCAAAACTAATCTTATCATTATGTTGACTCAAATAAATATTTCAAATTTAAATAGAGTAAGAACAACAAGGTTTGTAAAATAAAATGAATTCACCGTCTATTTCACGGTTTCCCATCAGATGCGTACAACTTAAAATTACAATTATCAATATAATTACTAATAATTGTTTACCAAACTATCGTTTGTGAAGTTTAGATAAATGTTCGAAATGTAACCAAAATTATAATGGGAAGATGAATAAATATACGATATGTATGAATAAACATAGTTAAGACCGATGTATATTTATATGTTGGAAGGTAGTAACTTAGAGTGAAATAGGCATTATGATTACCAGTAATCATAAACAAGGTAAAGACTAGTATTGGGGATGGTTGGAAGAGAGTTATGGGAGGCCAAACCAAAACGTGACATCAGAGCTTGAAGTCACTAACTTCTAGTATGAGCCATGTTGGCAGATGTAAACTACTCGGTTGGGGTCCGCGTGATCATCGTAACCAATGATTGGAGACTCTGGGTGACATGGCTCAGAATCGATCACAATGACGTGGGTGCATACACCCTTTATCTTCCCTTAAACCCTGAGATTAAAAGTGCTTCATATCTGTCTACCTCCCTGTACTATATCCTTATATACAACCTTTCTTTTATATTTTACCACTACTAAATTAACTACCTCTATGAATTCGGTGTTCATCTTGTTGTACTAATTGAGGTATGGCAACTTGGGCTGATGCATATGTGTGCCTGGTCCTACTTTGTAGCTGGCTGACTGATTGACTAAAATAGGTAATTGTAAAGGTAGTGAAACTAATAAGTGATCGCGTAATCATTTAACATGATAAGAGAAAACAAATATGTGGACATCACTAAGAATAATAAAGCTAAAAATTTGGAGACAGGGTTGAAAAGGAAAATTAAAAAATCAAAACTAGTAAAGGCTATTAGATGAACATCCAATCATCATGTCAAGTGAAGGCTAATCACACTTCCCTTATGTATATATAGGTCAGGTCGGAAACGTTCGATAGTGATTACCTCCGCCAAACGCAATAATCTTGGTGCTTGTTGTCTGTTAATTATTTTGAATGCATTACTGACATTCACTTCGTGTCCACTATTCAAAAGGTGTCTGGCAATAGCACTTGTAAACACTTTACTCCCTTTCAGTCGTACAATCCTAGCACTGTGTTCACAAAATTTAGTACATGCTCTTCTATCTATCTATCCTTCCTGTATACTTGCTACTGCAAGCACATATAAATTCATAGATACGATTTGAGGTGACGTCGGTAGGGTATTGATCTACTTTGAAATAGTACAACAAATACTTGGTATTTCTTATCCTTGTTCTTCTTATTTTTATAATTTTGGTTATCTTTCAAACATCTATCCAAACTTCACAAACTAAAGCTAACGATTTGTTATTAATGATATTCGTAATTGTAATTTTAAGTTGTATGCATCTGAAGAAAAACGGTGAAATAGACCGTGAATTCATTTTATTCTGCAAACCTTGTTGTTTTTTGCTCTGTTGAAATTTATTAAGGAATCTAATTGTATGAAATATCCTAAAATTGTTATCCTATTTACTGCAAAATCCAATGGACAATGCATATCCCCTTTTTTCCAATTTCCTTTAATAATTTTAGCTTGTCCACCGGGTAGATGGGGTAAATCTTGTACAGAAATATGTGATTGTGAAAATAGTGTTGAATGTCATAAAAATACTGGACTATGTATTTGTTTCCCTGGTTTCATTGGAAATAAATGTGATCAAAGTAGGTGATATATCTTAGCATAAGAAAAGTATATATGTTATTTCAAATTAGAAATCACTATACAGATAGTTTAAGTCACTAACTGACATCAGTTGATGGATCATTGACAAATAGTATGCATCAGATAAATCTATATCAGTTGTAAGGAACTACAGAAATTCTCTCAATTATGATTTGTTTGAATAACTCTTTTCAGTATATTTTAAAAGTTTTTCAGTAAGATTTGAAACAAGTTTTTAACATCAAATTATGTCAATTGAAAAATCATTGAAATTCAAAGAGTAATGAATAACTATTTTTCCCTGTTTTGAAAACCATCGGTAATGTATAACCATAACCCCATCAGGAATCAAACTCAGACTATTCAGGTTTCGTGAGGAGCTTGATGCCTTCAGAATACTGATTCGGGATTCATTGATGAAATCCTGATTTAGTGCTATCGTTGATAACAGTTGCACTTTGGCATGACTGAACCTTACCAATCTCGGCTTTTTCCCCAAAAGTATATGTGAATAAGACGGTTACGCACTACAATTTAAGCTAAATGTTATAAAAATGATATTAACTTCATGAGCATATCTAAAAATAAACAGTACATTATTTCACTACACAACTAATATCAACATAGCATGAGAACAGAATTTAACAATCCTTCACTTACTACTTTGAGATAAACATCGTAAGATTTTTGTACAGATTTGTGAACAGTATGGTTAACTTATTTGACTATGAAGAAGAACTGTCAATAATGATACCGCTCAATGACCGTCCAATACTTCTGATTAGATGAAGTTAACAGAAATGTAGACTAACATGTCCACTTCGGTGACTTAATATTATAAGTGTTGTTGCGTGGTTATAATTTCAGCTTTCTATCGCGGGTCTGTTTCGGAGTTATATTCATTAAACAGTCAAAGACAAGAATGAAACAGCTATTTAGTAAGTCCTGCTGACTGGTGGTTTTTCATCTGATCTTTTCATAGCCGTAACTTTAATGAGTAAAAAAATTCCTCAGTCTATCAGCTTGGGAAGCATAACTTGAATTAGTCAGTTTCTTATAAGTTATTCTGCAATTCGATCTCTGGTTTGGATCATTCTGAAAAATTGTGAACCTACTGCTTTTAGTTCCTAAAACTAATAACTAGCTAAACATCATCCGTTATCTTAAAAGGTGGAAACTATAACATTTTGCTTTTGTCCAACTGCATTTCTCATTCGTACTTTGGGCACTTTTGTTAGTTTTACTTTCTGTTAGATTGTTCACGTGAATGAATTCATGTATTAATATATCAGCTTGTCAGTCATTTCATTATCTCACAATAGTAGCAGTTCAGAGAATTATGTAAAATATATGCTTTGCATTAAAGTGTGTGTATGTTAATTTCCTTTTTTCCAATTAATCTGTTATTAAAGAATGCGAAAAAGGGAAATATGGACTTAATTGTACGGAAACATGTGCTTGTGTACACGGTACTTGTGATCATCGTTCCGGAGCATGTGAATGTGAACCTGGTTGGAGAAATATGCTGTGTAATAAACCATGTGCACCAGGATTTTATGGTGCTGACTGCCAACACAGATGCTTGTGTACAAATGGTGCTGAATGTGATCCTGTTACAGGTGACTGTGAATGTAATGAAGGTAAATATAAATTGGAGAATAATTCTTAATTGTTTACTCGACCTCGTTTGCATACCGGTTCAGTCTATTTTTACTAAAATATTCCTCAAACAAATGGAACTATCTTCTTTTTTCTTATCAATCTCAACATTTTCTAAATGAATTGAGATTATGAACATGCTACTACTATATTTCAGAAACAGCTAATAAACAAAAAACCACGTAAGATACAGAGTATCTCTGATTACATAGAAACCCTTACTTATTATAGAAACCTGATAATTTACCGAAGTAAAAATAATCAACATGTATTTTATACAATTCCCATTACAATAATTAAGCATCCCGAATATATATTACAATACAACAGACTCTCATCAATACATAGATAGGACTTCTAGTTAATTACTCAAAACGACGTTACCGTTGGTTCGTATTACTTTTTGAATTCTGTGTCGACACTTAAAAGTCACTATTATCAGCCTGATTGGTTCAACAGTGCAGTATAGTTTCAATAGATATACTTTAAATGTACTAAAGATTAGACTCAAATACGATGATAAGAGTAAACCAGTGAACTAAGTATCTAGATGAAATAAAATCTATTAGTTATGTATCGGTCAGACTATAACGACATCTGGGAAAGGCTAAATAAACCATTAAATAAGATTGGATGAGGTTTCTTTTGAATATTTAAAGAAACATTCAGAACAATAAACAAGTAGAAACTTCTGATCAGTAAAATTCAAAACTTGTTTTAATGCATCCACTTCCCAATTTCGATATTTCCAAGACGACTCTTCGCTTGTATCGAGCTAATATTAAGAGCTTTCATCAATAAAACGTATCACAGCAATCATCCATTTGTAAAACTCAAACCTCTTTTCTTTTTTATGCCCGTTTTATTAGGTTGGTATGGACCAGCATGTGACCAACCTTGTTCTGATGGTACATACGGTAAAAACTGTGTTAAGAAATGCAACTGCGCAGATGTTCCAGGTGTAAGCTGTGATAAAGTCACAGGAAGATGTATTTGTCCACCAGGACGTACCGGTAATGAGTGTTCTGAATTATGTCCTAGTGGATTTTGGGGGGAAGGATGTTCAAGAACTTGTGCTTGTCTACGGGGAGCTACTTGTGATCCCATAACTGGCAAGTGCCGTTGCAGTTCAGGTTGGTACGGTGAAGCTTGTGAGTTGCCATGCCAAAGTGGCCACTGGGGTGAAAGCTGTTCTGTTCCATGTCAGTGTTCAGCAAATACTCGAGACCCAGAAGGAGGTGAATGTGACAGGTTTACTGGAGAGTGCCGATGTCCACAAGGCTTTACTGGACCAAAGTGTCAAGATAGTGAGTGTTTTTCAGTAATCATCTAATTGAATTGTGTTCACTCATGGTAAGCATTTACACCGATCACTTTTTTCTTTTCTCAGAGTGCCCACCTGGGCGTTATGGATCAGATTGTAAACTGAGCTGTCCATGTCAAAAACCGGGTTCTAGATGTGATCCTGTGACGGGAGCCTGTGAATGTCCACCTGGTTGGTTCGGAGAAACTTGTGAAAGACCATGTTTATTGGGATTCTATGGAACAAACTGTAAGCAAAGGTAAACGTTTCATTTCATTTGTTTAGACAACATAATCTAACAAGAGACTTTTATGTGCATAATGACAAAATCTGCCTACTTTTACAGATCTAGGTTAAAAATGTAGAAAGTACGTCGACTACCACTTGTTTGTGCATAGGGATTGATTACAACTTCAATTAATGTACACATCATAATTCTGTCTAAATTAATTAAGACAATTTAATATGAAATCCAGCAAGATTATAGATCATGCTAATTTTTATTCAAAACACGGTTACAGAATGGCAATGAAATGTAAAACTACCATTTCTTTTTTAGCAGCAGAAGGATAAACAAACGAAAAACAAATAAAATCTCCATGATAAACCTGTTGAAATACCCAACCAGAAAAGAGCAAAATATAAACATCACAATCACTGACATCTATCCAAATAAATACAGCCGGTCAGCAAAAAACTTTTTTTATAAAACCACGTCAACTGTCAGTTAATTTGCTATATAATATACTAATTATTAGAATTTCTTCATCATGCACCAGTTAGGGTTAGGCAGTAAATTTTCCAGCCATACAGAGTATAGAAAATTAAAATATTACCAAGTAGTTAATTTGTTATACATCTTACATTTAGCTTATTGACTAAGTTATCCTATCACACACAAATAGTTCAATAATAAAATTGTTATATTCCCTGGTGAATTATGAATGGTAACTTCTGAGGACTATTTATGGATCAATGTATTATGTATATTTCCTATTTTGACCTTTGACCTATTATCATACGATTCTTGAGTTATCATCAGTTTATTGATTACTTTCCCCCTATTAGCAGCCACATTTGGCCAATTATTGTACAAATGTTGTTTTCTATTTTTTGGTACGATGTGGTCTGTTTGGTTTGTATATAAACCCAGTATGTTTGTGAATAATGATTCATATTGCCGAGGCTGTTATGGTGTTCTGGACTTAATGGACTGGGCTAGGCATATAGTAGGACTGACAAGTAATCAAGACTGCTCATACAGCTTTTGTGTATCATTGAGCGATCGATAAATTCACTATTCTCTTGTTGGCAGTATTATCACTTCATATATACCAAATCGGGCACACGTACACACACACAATATAACAAAAATGTCTTCATATGTTATTTTATTCAGCCGGTTTGGTGTGTGTAGTTGCTAACAGCAGTGATTAGGATACAATTATTTGATGAAATGAAATGAAAATATTACACTAAATTCAATTATGATCTGACAAACATTGATAAGTCAAACAATAAGAATCTAGACTCCCGTTAGTTAATAAAATTATTTGGAAATTATGATCTGATTATCTAAAATAATACGTTTTAAACGAGATCATGAACCGATCAATGTTATATCACCATTGAAAACTTTGTAGCACTGGACGGCCGTTTCGTTCTAGTATTAGACTTCTCAGAAGTGCGAATCTACGATCCATAGATTCGAACCCGGTACCTTCAGTTTCATGCTCAAAAGCTTATTCTCCAGACAAGTGAACAGTCATCCGACGGTGTTAATGTCTAACTTTAAACAATTCACAATATCTCCCAAACCGCTGAGGATTTCCATACTGGGACGAAACGGCCGTCTATTGCTTCGAGATTTTCAGTGGTGGTCTAGCATTGATCGGTTTATGATCTCAATCAAAACAGAACAATCTCCACAGCTCTATACTGATAATAATATGTTTATCGAATTTCACTGCGTGTAAAATTCTGTGTTGATTAGACTAATTTGTGACTTGGAGTCACGCAATCAATTTTTAAATTTGACCACGAACCAAAGAAATGTATAAAAACTCATGTTTAGTGTCTTTATCCATCAGCGATTCAGAGGATATAAGTCATACAAGTCTCATGCATATAAGCTAATCATATTTGTGTATCATTTCTCAAGTTTATTTTCTGCGTTAAAGAGGATAAAACTAACAAAGGCGTTTAATATTATCACTGTTACTTATTTTCAATTATATGATATACTTGACCCCACTAGTTGGTTTAGTGAAATTCAATAAAGGTTAATCATTATCTGAAGAGTTTTTGTGGAGATTTCAGTAATTTTATAGTTGACATCATGAGTCAATTGAAGCTAGACCACTATGAAAAACCTGGAAGCACTGAACGGCCGTTTCGTCCCACTGTGGGACTCCTCGGCAGTGCGCATCCAGTGGAGTTCAACGAGGTCTTTTGTGAGACATCAACTCATTGATGATAATGATGAACGGTTGCTCAAGTTCGTGGATTAGTTGAAGTTAGACATTAACACCGTATGATGCCGACTCAGTGGTCTAATGGTTAAGCGCTCGCGCGCGAGACTGATAGGTCCTGGGTTCGAATCTCGCGAGTGTAGGATCGTGGATGTGCACTGCTGAGGAGTCCCAAAGTAGGACGAAACGGCCGTTCAGTGCTTCCAGGTTTTACATGATGGTCTAGCTTCAACTGATTCATGATCTCAGCTCTCAAAATAGATTTAATTGAGATTCAACTTTCTCATACTGTATGCTTTTTTTTAACTTTTTGCTGTAATTTTCTATACTAATTAAAGCTTTGTAATTATGTTGTATTTTATTCCTCTAACTGAAACCATTTCATAATACTTCAGTTGATCGCATTTTACATCGTTATACTATCTAGACTCATGTTTGGTTAAAACAGTTACTACTTTCACTGTCTATAAATGAATATTCATTATTACTATGTATGTTATGCTGAAGCATTTTATCCAAGTGAACCCATTTTTTATTATATTTTTAATCTTAATACTTTCACTATGATGAAATTCATTATCCTCGAGCGCTTTTTTTTGTAATGATTAATGGTTAAAAATCACTGTCAACTCTGTTTGATTAATGAAATCGTCATAACTACTAAAAATTCATGTTTATTTGCCTTATAAATGACAACTAGCAAGAATAAATCTGAGTATCTAATGTTTCTTGAAATGAATGAAGATTTTCTTGGTTGACTAATTTCATATATACAATAGTGAAATTTTCATTTTATATCTTAATAAAGTTTGTTTCCGATTAAATTGATTCAAGATTTATGAGTATCAATATGGAGAAGTGAATTTCAGTGACTTATCTTATTTGTGATCATTTTCAATGAAATCTTGATTAAAAATAAATAAATATAAACTAAAGAATTTAAGATTCTTAGTTATCTGTTTGATGGAATTGTAATCCTTGGCATGAATGTTGTTTTCTTTTAATAATTTTTATGGTAAGTATCACACTACTTTAAAATCCAAGCAGTAGTAATATGAACAAGTAATAATAATTATAGTAAGAGAGTCGTTGTTGTCTAACCTGCGTCCAGTGTGTTTCACTGATTCCAAGCACCTCCCGCATGTATTTACTCATTTCTGCAGCAACTTGGAAGACTCTTCCGGTCTCCCACATTGTCCGGACGTTCTATGTACCTATAAAAATTGTCTCTCTGGTTGTTAGAAGGTGCATCGGCCTCATGACTTCCGAAGGAACTTGACTTTCATCATAAGACGTCATAATTATTCCTTCTACTCCCCGGGCAGAGTTTAAATGGTTTGAATAATTTTTTCTGGGTAGCGTGTTCTTAACGAATTGGTTTTCTACGGGATGGGGTCGCTAATCCTATGCCCAATCCTCCTCCTTTACCCGAGCTTGGGACCGACAGTAGCCCCAGGAGGAGCTACAGGTAGAGTTATATCCCTACTTCTAGTAAATGTGTATTGTCCTCTATTAAACACAATTAACTGATTTAATATGTAAGTTCTATGCTATAATAGTGATTGGTAACTTCAAGGAAAAAATTTCTTCTTTAAAAGAATAAGATTTATGAACAAAACTAATCTTTCAGACAATGAAATAGATATTTGCTGGATAACTGTTTGAAACAATCTTTAGAAACTACATACCGGATAGTAAAATATATACCTCTGCAGAGCTGTATAAAAAATTCTTATTATACACGAATATACACTAAAAAACGAATATTAAACCAACTTTTAGGTGTTCTTGTCCATCTGGTCAACCATGTCATCATGAAACAGGTCTGTGTAGTTGTCCAGCAGGAAAGTATGGACCACAATGTGAAGACACATGTCCAGAAGGACGTTGGGGTGAGGATTGTCAACATATATGTGATTGTCATTTGAAAAATAATAATATGCTATGTGATCCAATTCATGGAGTTTGTTATTGTCGACCAGGATGGCTAGGTCCCAATTGCATAAGCAGTAAGTCATTATTTTATATGAGACTGTAGTATTTAATGATTGGTTCATTTATTATTACATTAAAAGAAGATTAATAAATTCCCTGTACTTACTTTCAATATTTGAATTTTTCTAGTGTTACAAAGATACAACGTAACTTTTCAGTAATAACAAGTATAGAGAAGAAAATAAAATTTAGACAGCATTAAGTTGAAATAAACATTTTTTGATTTTAATCAGAAGGGGTTTTTGCGAAGATTTAGTATTTGCATAGTTGAAAGCATGAGTCAATTGAAGCTAGACCACCAAGGAAAACCTGGAAGTACTAGACGGCGGTTTCGTCCTATTGTGGGACGGATGCCGGCTCAGTGGTCTAGTGGTTAAGCTCTCGCGCGCGAGACTGATATGTCCTGGGTTCGAATCTCTCGAGGCAGGATTGTGGATGAGCACTGCTGAGGAGTCCTACAATAGTACGAAACGGTTGTCGAGTGTTTCCAGATTTTCCATGGTGGTCTAGCTTCAATTGACTGATGCTTTCAACTATTCGTTGATTTGACTATATGAAATTCCTTTTATTATCAATTAGACTTATAATTTCAATAGATGTCAACTATATGAATTGAAAATTTGTTGTACTTCATATTGAAGTACTTGTGTTTTTATAAAAATCCTTAGTTTACCACATTATAAGGACTATTAAACCTTGGTCAGAATAATAAATCGACAGTTCTCGAACCAATGAAGTGCCATAATAATATGTGAAGTGTAATCGCATTTCAACGATTGTTCTTAACTTGTTATCCTGTATACGTTAGTCAGTTGCAAACAAATCATTCTCTTGAGCTTGCTATGTGTTCAATCAATATTATCTTATTGTTATAGTGACCCCATCTCGCAAAGTAATCAATTTTTAAAATGATATAATTAACTAATTGACAATACGTAGAAAATAGTAAAGCGCATAACAAAGGTTAAATGGTCATTTGGAAGCTTACAACAAGAAGAGCATAGAAGTACAGTAAAAATATAGATAATAATAGTCCGAAAAATATTTCTGAAAGTTCCAACTATCGCAATATTCGTCTCGTTATAGCAGGTTTCATGGACAGCAATCATTTGACATAACTGTGTAAATGTTTGATGAAATAAAGGAAATGTTTTCGTATTGCATGCTCTTAGCTGTTATATTTGCTTTTTACGACTTTGTCTCTCCCAATCAGTCACTACGCTAACTTTTTATTCAAAAAATGCATGGTTATATAGGGCTCTGCTCGATGATGAGTCAGTAACTAAACATAGGAAGCCCATTAACTGGCTTCACAAGTCCACAAATGTCACAACTAAAGTGACTGATTATTGAGTAATACGTTTGACCCTTTTACTGACGTCAACTTTACCGTATGATGACCCAATAAATCCAAACTATATACTGCCTCCCCTTTGATATTTTCACAATTTAAATATTGATGTCGAAGACAGTAGATGAGTTCCAAGTTTGCATAGATTATTCAGTGTTATTTTTATTCTATGACGATACATTAACCCTGGTGCCATATTAAAACTAGAACAATTAAAATACCTCTACAAAGAGACAGATTTTATAATAACACTAACGTAATTAGAATTAGTACACTTACTGAAGATAAACCTATCTAAACTTTCTACCCTCTTAATACAAAGATTATATATATATATACATATATATATATATATATATATATATATATATATATATATATATATATATATATTGCTGCAATTTACTTATCATTGGCACTCTGTTTGTTCTCAAAGAAGTGTTTATTTCCGTGTTTACTAAGATCATTTTAGAAATGAACATATGAGTGATTGCCATCTCGTTTTTTCTGTCTCACTCAATTTCTAGGATGTCCAGCTGGATATTTTGGTATCAATTGTCAACATGAGTGTAAATGTGAAAATAATGGAGTATGTCATCCTGACAACGGGACATGTATATGTCAAGCTGGTAAATATACATTCAAGTATTTTTCGTTTGAATTGATTATTTGAATCTTCCCACTGACGTCTAGGACTGAAGTTAATCAGTCTCTTTCTGGCATATGCACATCTTGTGCGAATTACCTCCATAATACCATTAAGTTACAAGGATTATAAGCAGAGATGGATTGTATCCATGTGATGAGTCTCAAATTGAACGAAACGCGAGTCCTTGATTCCAGTCCTAGATACCATCCATTCATACATTGTGTTCATTAACATTTTAAATACTGAAATGGTAAAGCATAACAACTTACTTTAAATTTACCTAACACAATTCCTTACTGTGGTTATGACTGTTAATGTAATTTCCAACTTCGGTTTCTTTATGACTGTAACGACTCAATATATATCACAGATATTAGGTGTATTCATATACAGAACCATTGTAATGTAGAAAACAGCTGAACAATAGTCGAACAACGTCAGCTACTAATACTCAGTTCATTTTCGAAAGCATAATTATTCCCAAGATAAAGATGAACGTTCTTCCTATAGTTGAATAAACTCATCTTAGCATCAACCATTGTCATGAATCATCAATACACCAAAACGACAAAGTCAGGTTAAACAATGCATATATATGAAACAACAATGTGTGTTACGCCCAGCTCATTTTGCTATTGACTACTCAAACAAAATACAATAACTAGATTAATTGATTGAATACTATATTCTACTATATTTCTGGTATTATGTGATTACATATCATTCCCAAGAATTCTTTGACTTAGGTCTACTGTTTTGTGGCACTCAACAAGAAAGTTTTTTCTTTAAGTTTAATTAAAATCTTGTTTCTTTTACGACAGGAACCTATATCATCCAGTACTGCAGTCGGACTCGCCACAACTAAATGTTCATCTCGTAATTATAAGACTCGATTATTTCCATGGATCACTTATCTAATGATTACCACTGTTCTGCGCTCTCTATGAATTGATCTACTGTCTAACAAAAAGTTATTATTTCATGATACATGACATAACTAAAAAAAGGATTTAAAAAACCAAGATAACAAGAATAGTTCGGTGTACGGAATCAAAAGCAAGCCCACTATTAACTAGAAAGTACTTTTATTTGAACTGAAACTGACTAATATGTAGATCGCCACTCCCCAACTGATCAAAAATTCTAAATTCACAAAAAAAATATTACATAGTACGCAGTTAAACTGTTTATAACTTCATTATGCATCTTTTTTTCCTTTTTGTACAGGGTATTACGGTGAACGTTGTCAACTAAATTGTCCTCCTGGTTTTTATGGTTTACAGTGTAAGCAAAAATGTGGATGTGTTCATGGTGAAGCGTGTAATGAAATAACTGGTGAATGTTACTGTTCAGCTGGTTACCATGGTAAAAAATGTGAACAAAGTAAGTGATTTTTCATTGTCATTTTGCACAGCAGTAGTTGTTATTTCATATAAAATAATCATTGTAATTTACCTCGAACTACCAGTATTTCCAAAAGTATGTTGGTTAATGAATTTAATTTCTCAATTGATGCAGTCGATTCAAAATCATAGATTTATATCATTCTTCTGAGGGCTTATCAGTCAATTATACTTTCAATCTCCATGATAACTACTCTATATTACTATCTAGAAACATTTTCCAATGATTATATAGATTTTTCTAGATCACTTTGTACACGTTTGAGTAGTCATTTTGATTTATTTGAAACTTTTGAAAAAGAAAGAAGACAAATAGACTATTTATCATCATTAACCGTCAGTATAAAAGAAAACTATTTAAAAAGCTTTAAACAAGACTATTTCATTAACAACATCTATAGTTCTATATAATATTCTGTTTGAAGCTTTTCTCATATATTACACATGATCTATGTGTAGTGAACAAGAACATGGGTGGCGGCAATCGAATGTATTTAAATACAAATTACAAACTATCTCACTAAAATCTGATAACCATACAGTAAACAGTTAATTTGCAAAACAACGATTAATTGTCTCAATCTTCACCGTCCCTTCTTCAAATATCAGTCCATCTTCTTTGATTTCATTGTTCATGCATTTTCGTACCGATTGCGCTTCACTCCTGTTCTTTCCTTATCGATCTTCTGCCAAAATATATTCTATGTCTGACCATCACCATATACTACTTATGTGGA